TGAGTCATCGGACCTTCCGTCCCCCCCTGACCTGGCTGTGGGGTCTGCTGACAGCCACACGGTCTCTTGACTGGAGGGAAGAGAAGTAGCCCCTTACATTTGCCTGTGGCATGGGGTGCGGGGACATTTCCCCCCCGCACTGGCGGCTCGTGGTTGGGGGCGGGTCAAGAAAGAAGACAGCTTCAAAGGAGAGCCCTCGGGTCCCTAAGCAAAGTCTGCCCTTCCAGGGTCCCTAGAGCCTGGCCCCTTGGCGGTCGTGTATGGTTGTGGCAGGTGCCATCCTTTCCATCACCTTCCCCAAGCCTTGAGTGTGTGGTCACCCCGGTGAGCTGCAGAGGGAGCCCCGAGACCCCAGCAGCTCATGGACAGTGGATACACCCTTGTCCGGGTCTGTCCTGCCTCTCCCTGCCCTTCAGATCTGGTACCCGCAGTGGGCCGCCCTCCCCGAGGGAGCGCCTCAGATGTGGGGGCCATCATCCTCGGGAACAGGAGGCGGGCCCTCCCCTCCAGACCGGCCCTGGCCCCTGAGTGTGGCTCTGTGCAGGGCACCTGGTCTTCTTGGAGGTACTGGCCCTGCTCCGCTGTCCTCTGGGCCATGTCAGCTGGGTCTCAGGCTGGGTCCCCACGGGGTGGGCAGCCCTCCTCCCACTCAGTGGCTCAACCACAGCCAGGCCGGTGCTGTCACCGTACTGCTGGTGACCGTAAGCGCCGTGAGGCAGTGTAGCCTCCAGAGGGAGGCTGTGTGAGGCTGGGCTTTGGGGAGCTCCCGCCCAGCTCGGGCCCGCGCGGCCTTGCGGAGAGGAGAGGACGAGGGCCCGTGGATGACAGGGTGATACCTCTGGGCATGAGGACCCTGGGGCATGTTTGGGGACAAGCAGGATTCTGAACTTGATAACCACGTGAGTGGCCTTCCTGATGGCGTCCCAGAGGGCCCAGGTTTCCGGGGAAGCATGCACGAGGCTTTGGAGGAAGGGGCTGATGGGGCAGAGAACGTGTTTGCAGGGGGCTGTCTGCTTGACCCGCCTGAGCCCCTGGCCCGGGAGCTGGGGGCGCCTCCATGGGCTCCCCGCGGCATCGAGACTGGCTGCCCAAGGACAACCGGGGGAGTCAGCCCGGTGTCGGCCCGGCGACGTGTCCCCGTGTGCCAGGGTGGGAGGCAGTTTCCGTCAGCAGGCCACCGAAGCTCCAGCCACACTGCTCAGCCTGGGGCGGCACCAGCATGCTCCCCGGGCTCCCGGCTGTGCCCCGTGCGGGCGTGAGCCGCACCGGATACGTGGCAGCTGGGCCTCAGGCTGCCCAGGGCCGGGGGTTGTGCTCCAGGCTCTGGTCCCCGGTTCCATGGGCTCAGCCTGGGAGGCTCGGGGCCTTCAAGCTCTCTTTCAGAGACCCCTGGGGTCGGGGGGCACCCAGGCCCCCCTCTGTGCTGTCTGCAAGAGGGATATCTTCTCTGTAGTTCCAGGGCCTGAGGTGTCAATGCCCAGTTTGGGGTGACTCAGGGCACTGGTCCCATGGCAGGAAGCACCCTGTGAGGGCAAGTGTTGGCTGGAGAGAGCAGGCCCGTGGGACCAGCCCCGGGGAGGGCATCTGGCCCCCAGAGAGCACAGGGGAACTCACTGGGGGGCGGGGGGGCAGGAGGCCGGGCTGGACAGAGGCCCCGTGTCTCCCCATCTCTTTCTCCCTGATGTCCTGTCCCCACCTTTAAGGGCCTCGTGATGACTGTGGGCCCACCTGCCAAGTCCCTTTAGCTGGCGAGGCTCCAGGGATTAGACTGCGGACCCTTTTAGGGGCCGTTACTCAGCTGACCCTGCTCTCCTTAAAGACACTGAGCCTGTGGCTCTCAGTCCCAGCCATACCCGCCGGGTCAGCTGCTGCAGGTGGCTGGAATCGGCGGAGGACAGCGACCCCCACGTGGCCGACTCGGGAGCCGGGCAGGCAGGGTGAGGGACGCGGGTCCTGCATGGCTTCCTGAAGGTCGGTCTCCTCCTCGAAGGGGCCCCGGTAGGAGGTCAGGTGGCCGCGTGCCCGGCTGCTCTTCCGCAGGCCTCCCTTGCCCGGAGGGCTGAAGGGGAGGCCTCAGGCTCTTCAGCCTTGAGCTGCCTGCTGCGCCCCTATGCCCGCGCGGCTGACAGTGCCCCGGGGGCCCTGGAAGAGGTGTCTGAGCTGGGCCACGGCTCACAGACGCTGTCCCCGCCGGGGCCGGGTCGCCAATCACCAGGGAGGGCAGGTCCGGGGGCCACTGGAGAGCTTGGGGCTGCCGTCCGTGTGCCAGCCCCTCCCAGCGGGGCCGCTGTGGGAGATGGCTTGCAGACGTGGCCCTGTGCGTCTTAGCAAGGAGCAGGCTTTCTGTCCGCTGGTGTGGACACTTGAGTCTGAATGTTCCTGTGCGGGCAGCAGGGGGGCCCAAAGAACAGTGGTCACATGGGCAGGGGTGGGAGCCAGGCCGGAGGCCCCAGCCGTCAGGGCCGCCCAGCTGGAGGGACCCTGCTGGCTGACGGCGGCCTCCTGCCTGTGCCTCCCCCGAGTGCTTCGTCCCAGACTGTCCATTTGCTGTCCTTGTGGCCCAAAGGGCTGCTGGGCTGGCCGAGGGGTTGACGCTGTCCTGGGTTCCCCTTGTGTCCCAGACAGCTTGCTCAGACCTGCCTGGGAGCTGCTGGAGGATCTGGCCGCCCAGCCAAGTGTCCGAGCAGCCTCTCCCCCAGCTGGGGTCTGGAGTGAGCCGAGCGTGATTATGAGCTGCTGGCCGAGAGCAGGGTACCCGGAAGCCAGTGTCCCTGCCCACCAGCACTCCCGGCCCCAGGGCCACATCAGGAGCAGCCACTGGAATGGTGCCTGGCAGGGTTGGTCTGGACGCTGAGGCTGCCGTCCACCCCACCACCCCCACAGACTACACATACCTGGCATGTCTTCCCTGAAGTTTCGCTAAGCACCTACTATGTGCCTGGGGCCACGTCCCCCACGGTCGCATCTTTACCTCCTCTCTGAGCCCCCGTGGGGGGTTGCCCGCACCTCCCTTCCAACCACTTGCCACCCAGCTGACTCTCCCGCAAGAGGGCCCTGGGTCCCTCTGTCCCCTACCCTCCTGGGGACTCTGCTGGGGCCCTTTGACCTCTGCCTTCAGGCTTCTTCCCGAGAACCACCCGTGTCCATCCTGAGAAAGCTCCAGGCTGCCGCGGGCAGAAGAGAGCCTCCCTGTGTCTTTGGGCCTCTCCCCAAGGCGCTCGGCACGGCCCTGGGGGTCTCCTCAGGCTGACCCGGTCTGTGTCTGCAGCAGAGGCCCTGGCCTCCTGGAGTTGGTTGGGTGTCATTTCTGGGGCTCCAGGTCTGTCCTCCGCATGTGGGCTGGCGGCGCGGCTCCCGTGTGTGTGGGAAGCACAAGCTGGTGGGTGGGCGCGGGGGATGGCCAGGGGGAGCCTCGCCCTGATGCCCACCTTTGGCACCCTTCACAGGCGGCCTCAGATGGCTGGCATTTTAGGAGAATGGAAGCTGAGCGTTTTCACGGGAGGGAACCAGAGGCTGGAGTCATGCCTAGTCGATGTCAGAGTGGAGCGTCTGTGTGTCTGTCTCCCTGCATTTGTGGTTGGGGAGGCTGGCGTCTGAGAAATGTGGACTGGCCTGAGGCCCGGCATGGGCTTCCAGCCCTGTGCCTGGTGTCCTGGGGGCCCCCGTGTCTGCAGCAGCTCCCTCCCTCGGTCTCCGGGTCTCCCACACAGTTGTGTCCCTCCTGGCGTTAACCATGCACACAGGTGTCTCAGCAGCCTGTTCTGACCACTTCCGTCGCTGCCCAGCCTCCTCGGGGGCCCGGGTTGGTGGACGGAAGTCTGGAGGGAGGGATGAGAGGTAAGGGCAGCTCCCAACTTCCCCGTGTCTCTGAGTTCCTGCAGGAGGAGGTGACCCTCCTGGGGTGCAGGCCCGCGGGCACCCGGCTCTGGGGAGGGTCTTCCTGCTTCTCCAGGTCTTAGCTGGGCTCCTGGGGTGGCCCCCCAGGGCCTTTGGGCTGGCCTCATCCACTCCTGGTTAGCACTTTCTCTGTGGCCTGGGGTGCTGTGGGCATGTGTGCTGCTCTGGTGGCTGGTGGTCTCGGATGGAAGGTGTTCTCCCAGCAGTGCCTGGGACCTCCATGACGTCCTGTCCTGGGGATGTTGCTGGTGGTCTCCCCTCCCTCTGGCATGGGGAGGCCCCCAGGAGACCCAGGCAGATATCACCCACGTTAGTTTCCCGGGACCAAAACAAATACAACAGTAGACGTTGATCCTCTGACTGTTTTGGAGGCTGGAAGTTCAACATCAAGGTGCCAGCAGCTCCCTCCAAAACCCCCAGGGGAGACCCTTCCTTCTCTCGTCCTTCCAGCCTCTTGTGACCCCACCTGGTTCCTAGGCTGTGGCCACCTCATTCCAACCTCTGCCTCCCCGCGTGTCTCCTTTGGGGACCCTGGTTGCTGGATGTGCCTCACCCCATCCAGCGTGGGTAACTAATTGCGTCTGCCTCTGAAGGTCACGCTCTGAGGCTCTGCATGGATGTGAATTTGGGGGGATGCTGTTCAAGCCTCCTCTCCCCTAGCCAGAGCCCGAACAAAGGCATCTCGTGCATTACTGGCTTTTCCTTTTGGGCTCACGGGTCCCAGAGAAGCAGCTGGCCCTGTCCTGAAAGTATTTCCGGATCTGGACCTTCGGGGTAGAGCACGAGCTCCAGGTTCAGTCTCAAAAGGCCTGAGAAGCTGCCCCCCCCCAGCCCAGTGCCCTCTGCAGCCGCTGCCTTGTCCAGACCACTGCTCCCTGTGTTGTGTCTGACCCCCAGGGCTCCCCACGTTCTGGCCACCCCGAGGTGGTGGCTCTTTCCCCCCAAGCAGGCTGGCTGGGTGTGAGGGAGGGGCCCTGCCTTCTCCCCACTCTGCTCCAGTAAGCGTGGGCTCGGAGCGCGGGCACCTGAGCGGGGTTCCGCTGTGAGGGCGCCTGGATCGGGGTCCCTGGGGCGGCTAACCCTTGGCCCGTGTCCCTGTCCAGATGTGGATGAGTGCCAAGTGCACAACGGCGGCTGTCAGCACAGATGTGTGAACACACCAGGCTCTTACCTCTGCGAGTGCAAGCCCGGGTTCCGGCTCCACGCGGACGGCAGGACCTGCTTGGGTAAGTGCCCGGCTGCCCCCCACCCGGGCTCTGTGCCACCTCCCCGCCTGGGTTCCTGGCCTCAGTGGTGCCCCCACCATCCTGGCTGGGCCCACCGGGGTGGGGCGGGGGTCCCCATCCTCCTGAACCTGCTCAGGGGCTTGTCCTGCTGCGTGTGTGCTTCCCCTTGGGGCCCTGGCTGGCCTGTCGTGGGGCAGTGCGCCCTCCTGAGTCCCCAGGGCCTGGCTCCTCCATGCTGAGGCCTGTGACCCTGGGGTGCAGAGGCCATGTTCCTGGGGTTCCTCTCTCGACTTGGGGAGGAGCCCTTGGGCCAGCACTCTCTGGAGGGCTCTCTCAGCTGAAGCTGTGGTGCTGGGTCAGCAGGGGCCCAGGGCCCGGGGACCAAACTTGGGGGTGACTTCGGTGCGGGCTGGGTGGGGGCGGCTGGTGAGGGCAGGGGAGGGCCAGCATGAGGCCATTCTTGGCCTACAGAACTGGGGTTCCTGGGCCCTGGTCCCCCCACCCCGGCCTTGGGAAGCTTAGGGGGTTGGGCTGTGGCAGGTCGGGAAGAGGGAGCCGAGAAGCAGGACCCTGACCCGCACTTCCTCTGCAGGGCCTTTGTCTGTGGGGACTAGACTTGTTGGAGGTGCCCTGGCCACAGCGTGCTGTCCCTGCAAGCATGGAGGGCTGCCGGGGCGAGGGGACGGTGCCGGGTGCCTGCTGCGGTGGAGGGTGGAGGGGCTGCAGGCCGGGGGCTGGTGCTGAGCCCTCCGCTCGCTGCCCCCCCGCCTTGCCCCTCTCCTGCCTGGCTCTGGACGCAGGGGCCCAGGGCCTGGGGCTGCTGTGTCTGGGAGGCCATGTGATGGTCATTCTCGGGGGGCTGGTGCGGGACTCCCCTCGTTTCCCGGAGATGCGGAGTGGGCCCGGCAGGCTGCGAGTGGCCTCATTCCTGCACGCTGTGCTGCGATGTGGCAGGGCGGCCCGCCAGCCCCGGGGGGCCCTCCGGGCACACACACTCTCACATGTCCGGGCGCCGCTCGGGGAGGGAGGCAGCTGCTCCGCCGTTTCTCCGGGTCGGGAAGTGGAAACAGATGTGGGAAGTGTTGTAATGTGCTTCCAGACAGACCCAGTGGGGGTTGCGGCCCCCAGTTGGGGGTTGGGGGGGGGACTTCTGGGAGCCTCCTGGTTCCCCCAGGCTCCTGGACATCCCGGAGACGTGTGTCCCTGGGGCCCGGGCCATGGTGGGCTGGGCTCGGCCTGGGGGGTGCCCACTGTCCCCTCCCTGCTGGGCGCTCCCCCATGAGGGGCCTGGGGCTGGGACACCCCCCCCCACGTCTCTCTGGTCTCCCCATCTGCTGGTGATGCTTCCCTGAGGTGCCTGATGGCAGGAATGCCCGCTGGTGTTGGGTGAACAGCAGGCAAAGGCAGGGGCGCCTTCCTGGCCATGGAGGGACAGGTCTTGGCCTCGGAGAGTGTCCTTCAGCTGCTAGCTGCGGGAGGCCTGGAGGGGCGCCCCTCGTTCTTGCCCCGGCCCCCAGCCCACCCCGGCTGGCCGGAGCTCTTCCCGGGCGCCCTCCCCGCCTGTGCTCCAGGTGCAGAGGTCTCCGTCTGTGGCATTGGCTTATCTCAAACATCTCTTCGGGGTCTGCCGCCAGGGCTCCTGGGCATGGTCTGCACAGCCTGGCAGGAGGCTGCTGGGACCTCACGGTTGCTCGGTGGGCAGCCCCAACACCGTGCTCCCAGGCCGGCCCCCCGCTCTCTCGGAGCTGGTGCCCACCTCTTGGCTGCTTCCCGTTGCTGGGAGTGGTTTCCTCAAGGCTGTTGTTGGGCCTCCCCCTCTCGACTGGAACCCCCAGCAGGACGTGCTCGGTGCCCCACTTACCTGCACACGTCTGGCTCTTTTTGGTGGCTTCCTTGTACCGGGAGCTCCCGGGAGCTGAAGCGTTGCTAGGGTGCAGGCCAGGGCCCAGGGCCCCCCGGGGGGTGGGGTCTGGAGTTGGGGTGGGTGTGTCAGGCTTGGTCCCCTGGGAGCTGCCCTTTCTGGAGGGGCCTGGGCCTTGCTGAGAAACTTCCGGAGTGGACAGGCCTCCCCAGGGAGCGTCTTCGCAGGCAGAGTGGAAAGTGTTTGATCTTCTCGCTAATGCACCCCTTTTGGTGTCTGGGGGACCTGCCCAGCCTCAGCGTGTCCTTGGGTGGGCGGGCAGGGACGAGCAGCTTCCAGGTGGGGGCCTGGTGGAGGGCAGTGCTGGACCCTCCACGGGCTCTGAGTGGGGGAGCTGGACTTCCTGCCACTGAGAACTGTGGGGGGCCTGTCCCCTCTGCTCTGGGATTCCCAGGGTACAGGACACGGGGAGAAGCTGGGCCTTCTCTAACTGAGGTTTACGGGGCGCCCTCGGAGCTCAGACCACCCTGGGCTACAGGATGCTCACAGGGGGAATTGGGATAGGAATCCCGCGCTCCCAGCGGGGCCCAGCTGCACAGCTGGAATACAGCTGCTCTGGAACCCCTCCCTGGGGCCTGCTGGGAGCCTCTTCTGGGGGAGGGGTGCCGGGAGCTCCCCTCGGACTTTGCAGCCTGGCAGAAAACAGCCCCAGGCACCCACTCCCGTCCAGCAGCTGGGAGTAAGAATTACCGAGAGAGCTGGAGGTTGGGGTGGAGAAGGAGCTCCCCCTGCAATATGACTGTCGTTCCTGTGATGCCATGTCACGGGGTCCTGAGGGATGTCGGAAGTCCTCAAAGGCACATTCGAGTGGGGGCCTTGAAACACTGTGGAACTTGCCTCCGGGGCAGGGAGAGGACAGGAAATGCACAGCTTTCTCCCATCTCTCCTTTCTAGAAGGTCTGATGAAAATAAAACACAAAAAGGTTTCCATTCTTCCAAAAGAGAATTTGCAAGAAGGACTTCACCATCAGCCCGAAGTCCCGGAGCACCACCCACTTAGCCTGGGCCCCGGAGAAGGGGGCGTAGCCTGGCATCTGGCATCATGGGACTCTCCATGGCCAGGGAGCCTTCGTGGATGTGTCCTCCAGCCTTGGGGTTGGGAAGAGCAGGGCCTAGTGTTAGTCTGCCCTGCTTGTCACTCTCGGGCCACGGAGCTGGCCTCTCTCCTTTCCCGACTCGGGGCTTAGGGCCTGCAAGTGGTTTGATCAGGGGACGTGTTTAGGGAGGGTGTTCTTGCTTCTCTGTGACGTTTCGAGGAGATCCAGCCCGCGAATCCATGGAGAGCCGCTGCTGGGCACTTTAACACTTGGGCCTGGGAAGCCCACTTCCCCTGGGCAGCTGTCCTGTGGTCCCTTCTGGATCCTGCTCTTGGACGTGGATGCTTCTCCACATCCCCTTAGGCAAGTAGGACCTCAGGGGGTCCCTGTGATATCACCCTCCAGTAGCGGGTCCCGTGTGATGCCCTGGGCCAACCACTTGGAAGACCTGGGCTCTCCATCCTCCCCCACAACCTTGGCCTCTGCCCCTATGGCCTTTCGGACCCCTGCCCCCCCCCAATTGTGCTGGCAGCATGCACTCCCCACCCCCTTCACCAGTAACTAGATGTCCTGGTTCCCTCTCCTAGGAGTCCCATGGGCCCATGGTGCCCAAGGTGTGGGGGAGGGGCTCCCCAGCTCTGCCTTTCCCTGGGCCTTGGGGCAGTCTCTTTCCCAGCCAGGCCAGGGTGTCTCCCAGTGAGGGGGCAGGGAGGGGGAGTCCCCAGGGAGGCCGCGTGGCCCCGCTGGAGGCCCCAGGCAGCAGGAAGGTGGAAATCTCCAGGCTAGTCTCCAGGCCCATCCCCGCAGAGTTGTGCCGTTCTGAGAACGTTCTCCAGCGGCCCCCAACCCCCAACCCCGCAGGCTGTGGCTGCTAGAAGTCGCCTTCCTAGCCTCGAGGGGCCCGTGGGTCTGGTTGGGGCTGCTGGAAGGGCAGCCCCGCCCCTGGGACGCCCCGGGATGCTGCGGCTTTGCTCAAGCCCAGGAGCCCAGCGATGAGCCTCCCAGCGCCCGGGGGCGACGGGATGGTCCTGCTCCAGCCCAGGGGAGCCGGGGCAGTGGTCAGAGCCCGGGCTGGATGAGGACAACCAGCAGGGAAGCAAGGGCAGCTGGGGCCGTGCAGCGGGACGGGCTGGAGCCAGGTGTGGGGTCCGGCGGCTAAGCTGCAGGAACAGCCTGTGTGTCACACCTTTGCTTTACCCCGAGGTGGGAGGTGTGGGCCGGCGGTCGGCACGGCCTGGGTCCTGCCCCCCGCCCCCGCCCCCGTGGCTGTCTGTCCCTGGCTCGGACTCCAGAGTGGTGGCGGCTGGTGGGTGTGTGGTCTGTGACGAGGCTGGCCCAGCCCCTGTCACGGGGGGGGGGGGGGGGGGGGGGGCGGCCACTTGCAGAGCTGCATTTCCTCATGGCCGCCTGCCATGCGGGAGCCCCAGCCCGGGGTCGGGGAGCAGGACGGCACGCACACGGCCGAGGAGCTGGCCACCCCTGCCTGGAGGGATGGGGTGGGCAGAGCCCGAGTGAGTCTCCCCTTCTGCCCTGCCATGCTGGCCTTGTGCCCAACAGAGGGCTTTCCAGAAGGAAGGACCCTGTGGGTGGCCTCTGGCCACATGTGGTGGGAGGCTCTTGGGACCTAGAAACCAAGCCAGTCCGAGGGCCGTAATTACCAAACCCCGTGAAGGCAGCGGGGACCAGAGCCGCCCCAGCCTGCCCAGAAACCACGGGGCTGGGTGTGGAGGCAGCTGCAGAGCCGGCCGGCGGCCTCGGCGTGCTGCTCACAGCAGTGCCCTCCCGCGGGTGGCCGGCCGGGCAGAGTCGCCGCCCACCGCCCCACCTGCCGCCCCACCTCCGAGTCACTGGGATGCCCCCGGGTCCAAGTCCGTGCTCAGGTCTCCGGGCTGCCCCCATGCCTGCACCCGCAGAGACCCTAACCCCTAACCCTTCCCCCTTCTCCCCCGCCCCATGTCCCTGCCTCCAGCTCAAGTAGCCCCAGCGCCTTGGTGAGTGGACGCCTTGCCTGCAGGCCCCTGGGTGGTGGCGGCCTCTGCTGGCAGGGGGCAGGCTTGCAGCCCAGCTCCTGGAAGCCGCCTGCATCTGGGGCTGGAGCCGGGGGTCCCGGAAGGCCCAGAGGGAAGGTCTGTCAGCTCGGGGCGCTGTAACAGGTCCCTCCACAGAGTGGCTTGAAGAACAGAAATTTATTTTCTCGCTGCTCTGGAGGCGGGAAGTTCCAGATCACGGTGCTGGCCAGTGGGTCGGCTGGTGGGGGGCCCCCTTCCTGGCAGCCCGTCTTCCCGTGGCCTCCTGCATGGGAGAGAGAGACGCAGAGATACAGAGATCTCACGTCCCTTCTCATAAGGACACAGGTTCTGCTGGATCAGGGCGGCACCTTTATGACCTCATAAAACCTAACGTTTCTCCATGAAAGCTCCGCCTCCGAGTTCATTCACATCGGGGGTTCAATTCTAGGGGTACGCCAGTAAATCTCGGAGGGCCGCGAGCACGCGCCCCGGACCTCCTGTTTCTGCCAGGCTCTCAGCTTTGCTGCAGGTCCGAGCGGGGTACCGATCGGCGGGAGTGCCTGGGCTGGGACGTGGATTCCACGGCTGGGTTTTGAAGTGACCCAAGGGGCCTGGAACCTCCCCACCAGCTCTGGGCACTGGCCACACCCAAGCCGGCCCCTCCCTGAGCTGCACAGCCCAGTGCCCGAGAAAAATCTGTGTCGATGAGCTTTCCGGGAGCCCGTGGCCCGGGTGTGCTATATGACACGGGGCTTGGCTCCCCGTGTACACAGCTTGGGAACATCGGGAGGTTAGGACTCGTTCGGCATAGCACGGGAGGGAGCCTGGGCCCCTCTGCTTGCCGCCTCCCCGCCTCAACCCAGTGATTTCTCCCCCCAGTGCTGCCCTGGGCCAGGTGCCTGATTGTCCCTGGGCCTGACTTGGGGGCTTAGCCTGGCAGGGGTGGCTCCTGGGCCCTCCTGGGTCCTCCTCCCTGTCCTGCCGGCCCCCCTGCCCTGTGCTCCATGACCCTCTCTCTGTGTGCCTGTCCCACCCTGTCAGGCGGAGCACTGGTGCCCGTGATGAGTCTCGAGCGGGGATGCTGCTGGAGTCGTGAACCCAAACAGCCCGGGACTGGGGGGGCTCAGCTCATGCTCGGAAACGTCTGAGTGATGGCGGTGGCTGAAATGGAGTGTGTAGGCACGGATTCAGGGGTGGCAGCTGGGGAAGGGGCTTCGCGGCTGGGGGACAGCAGACAGTGGCTGCCCTGCCGGCCTTGCTTGGGCACAGGCCTCACGTCTCTGCCGCTCTGCTGTGCACAGGCCTGCTGCAGCAGGACACACAGCCGATGCGGCCACCCTCGTGTCCTCCCTGGGCGCGGCCCCGTAGGGCTGGGACTCTCGGCAGGGGCTCCCTGACCCCGCGTCTCCTCACGTAAAGAAAGTGGGGCTCTCCCGAGTGCTGTGTTCCGGATTGCCCAAGCCCGCTTGCCCTGTCTTGAAGGGAGTTCCTTCTGCCTTCTGCGTGGTCTCGGTGTCCTCAGAGACCTGGGGCCACACGCCTAGTGGCCGCCCCTTGGCACTGCCAGTACTGCCGCTCCTGCTCCCCACAGAAACTGCTCCCTCGGAGCTGGAGGCCAGGCTTCTGGGCCGCAGTGGCCCTCCGTGGCAGCCCCACACATGCCTGCCCTGACCTGATAGGTGACCGATAGGAGAGGGAAGCATCTGAGCCCCACTGCCCACAGCCGGCCTGCTGCCTCCTCCGGGAGCCTCCCAGGCTGCTTGGCCTCTGGCCTTGGAAGCGCCGGTTCTCAGTGGGACCCCGTGTGGTGCTCTCCATGCTGGGTGATGCCGGCTGGCCCTGGAGGGCCCATCTACACCCAGTCTTCGGGCAGGCGGGGCACACGGGTCTGGAAGCTGATCACGGTTCGGGTACCCCGCATGCGGGCTGAGCCTGTGAACCCTATAGGAACGGCGTGCCTCTCAAAGTCCTGCTTCTGGGACAGAGACAGAAAGGAAAGGGGCGTGGGGGGTCCTGAAGGGTTCTGCAGGAGGTGGTCGGAGCCCGATGAGGGTGGTCCCCCGGCTGGTCATCCCCCTGGGCTGTATCCACCACTCCTGTCTGTGTCCCCAGCCATAAACTCCTGTGCCGTGGGGAACGGGGGCTGCCAGCACGAGTGTGTCCAGCTCACGGTGACCCGGCACCGCTGCCAGTGCCGCCCCGAGTTCCAGCTCCAGGAGGATGGAAAGCGCTGTGTCCGTGAGTGTGCTGCCCTGGAGATGGGCGCTGGGGCTGGGACTCCCACCGGGACTCCCCTGCTCCCCATGCCACACACCCACCTGGGAACCCTGAAGCCCGAGCCCCAGGCACAGATCCTGGGCTGGCCTCCCTGTGTGGCCTCTGGGGCTGGAAGCAGGACTTGGGGGAGGCAGGGCCCCTTGGGTGGTAGGGCACCGTCTGGCCCCTAGTGGGTGTGGTGGGGAAGCCCCTTAGGCTGTGCTCTGCGATCGTGCATCTGCTGGGGGCAGGAAGCCCAGGATGGGGCGCGTGGGGGATGGGGCAAGGAAGGGCATCCTGAGTGTTTCTCAGTTCTCACACCGTCCTAGGCTCCGTGTGGGCATGTGGGACCCAGGTCCTGGCCCTCCCGGACAGGAGACGCAGGCAGGGCCCCACTTGGCCTCTTGCTCTGGGGTCTCGGGCCTGTCATGGGAGGAGGAGCTTTGCTGATGGAGATGGTAGGGCAGGCTGGGGGTCTGCGAGATGTGGAAGTGGGGGGCCGTGCTGGAATGAGGCAAGTACTGAGAGTACCCCCCAGCATACACACACCTGGCCTCAGGGTCCCAGGCCAGAGTAAGGGTGGCCCTGAGGGCTGAGCAGTGGGGGACAGTGGCATGGGGCTGCAGGGCTGGGGGCCTCAGGACTCCTTAGGTCTGAGTAGGAGGAGGCTCCGGAGGACTTGGGATGTCTTGGAGGTTCCCACACTGGGGAGAGGGGGACCCCTGCTGAGCCCATTAGACTGGAGCCCCCAGGGACAAGAGCCCTGGTGGGGGATTCAGGAGATGCCTGGGCACCCCAGATCTGCTGCAGCCCCCGTCTTCCCTCTGGGCCTGTGACCGCAGGGAGGAACCCGTGCGCGGAGCGGAACGGCGGCTGCTCGCACACGTGCCAGGCGCGCCGCGGCCTCGCCCACTGTGAGTGCCACGCGGGCTTCCTGCTGGCAGCCGACCGCAGGTCCTGTGAAGGTGAGACGCCCCCCCTCAGGCCCCAGCCGGGCTCTGCACCCCTCCTTGGGCGGGGGACGGGGAGGGGACAGGGACACACTCAAGGAGCCCAAGTCTCACTCCGGCAGAAACAAGCGGACGGTCTTGGGCGGTTTCTCAGTGGTTATGGTATCAGCTTCGTGGTACGTGGTCATCAGGGAATTGGGGGGAGGCCGCAGAGAGAAGGCAGGGAGCATCACTGAGCCCCAGGAGCTCCCTGAGCGGCCGGCTTCTAGATGTTTCTATGGCTGTCGTTAGCACGCGCACAGAGAATCGTCCAGGTCCCAGCCGGGTGCTGCTCTCTGGAAGGTGCTCCTTCATGCCTCGCTTCGGGGGCGCGGGCTGCGCGGGCTGCCACGTGTCTTACCCCGTCATAGCAGTTTGGGGGGTCTTGCACGTCCCCCATCACTGTCGGGGTGCGTCCAGGCCAGACGGTGGCCGTTTCCCCAGGCGTCCAGGTGGGGGTCTGAGCGCAACCCCCACGGCTCCAACCCGGGGAAGGATCGTTTCAGGCGTCCTGCATGCGGGGGGCTGCGGCGGGCTCAGCAGGAGACCGGGCCGAGGGTCAGCTTCACCCCGAGGACCTCAGGGGGTGACCAAAAGCGGTGTTGGGGATCAGGCACTCCCAGCCAGTGCTGTGGGCGGGAGGCTGATGATGGCCCCTGGTGGGCTCAGACGGACCCCCTTGCCCGCTGCTGCTGGTCCAGACCTGTGCTCTCCTTGCTCTGAGAAGGAGCGAGGTTCTGACCCCGAGGGCTGTTGATGAGAGCGCCAAGCTCGGAGGGCATCTTGGGGCGGGAAGTGGGGAGAGAGCCCTGGGTCTGAGCCCTGAGCCCCACTGGGACTCCTCCGCCCTGAGGCCTCCACTGGGGGCCGCACCTCCCAGAGGCCTCCGTCTCGAGAGCCCTCCACTCGATCTCTCCCGTGCAGATGTGGACGAGTGCGCTACGGGGCAGGCCCAGTGTGCCCACGGCTGCCTCAACACCCAGGGCTCCTTCACGTGTGTCTGCCACGCGGGCTACGAGCTGGGCGCTGACGGCCGCCAGTGCTACCGTGAGTGGACAACGGGCAGGCGCGGGCACCCCAGGCTGTGGAGGGACCTGGAAGCAGTGACACAGGCCCCCCCGACCCCACGGGCACTGGTGTGCTGGGGCCGGGCCAAGGGGATGAATTCTCCGGTCATCTAGGGGCAGGGCTGGGTGTGGGGGCTGAGGTGGGCCCAGGGCCGCAGTGGGTATGTGTAGGGGGGTGGGGCTTGGGGCGGAACATTCCAGAACCCGCCCAGCCCAGGAGCTGGGGGCCACCCATTTCCTGATAGGATGGGCCTGGGGGCTGCAGGCTGGCTGCTGGGTTTGGGGGTACTGTGGGGGGCTCACCAGGACCCCTTCCCACGTCCCTGCTGGGGTGTCTCCCGGCAGGTATCGAGATGGAAATTGTGAACAGCTGTGAGGCAGACAACGGGGGCTGCTCACACGGCTGTAGCCACAGCAGTGCGGGGCCGCTGTGCACCTGCCCCCGCGGTTATGAGCTGGACGAGGACCAGAAGACGTGCATCGGTGCGCGGTGGTGACCTGCCCACAGCCCCCCGCCCCCAGGCTGTGCCTTGGCGTGATGCTGTTCCTCCACAGCTCCCACTGGGTCCCCTCCCTGGGCTACTCGCTCTGCCGGGGGCTGGGCGGAGGGTGGGCCCTGCTGAGCCCCTGGCCCGCGCCCTGTCGGCCCGTGTCACTGAACGCTCCGGTTGCCGGCAGTGGTGCCTGGAGCCCTGCAGGGGTGCGGGTCCTTTCTTCGGGGGGTGCCGCGGCGTGTGTCCCGTGTGCCCCTGGGGCCAGATGCGTGGCAGTGTGTGCGGGGCCCGTGTGCTGTGGGCGCGGGAGGGCATGCACGCGGGCAGGTGCCACGGCCCTGGTGTGTGTCCTGCAGACGTGGACGACTGTGCGGCCTCCCCGTGCTGCCAGCAGGCCTGTACCAACAGTCCCGGTGGGTACGAGTGTGGCTGTTATGCCGGCTACCGGCTCAGCACTGACGGCTGCAGCTGTGAGGGTGAGCGGGTGCAGGGGGGCTGAGCGTGGGGGTGAGAGGGGCCCTACCCGTGCCCCGCCCCAGGGCCCTGCTTGGACACCTGCTTCTGCAGGGCCCTGCCACCTGCCTGTGCCCATCCCCCCACACTGGTCCATTGGGCGCAGGCTGGCTGGCGTCTGCCGTCATCCTGACGCTGGGCATCGGAGGACTGCCGTGGAGGTGGCCTCCAGGAGTGGCTGTGGCCTCAGTCCAGTGGGTGGGGGCGGGGTAGGAGGGCACTGCTTCCCCGACCCCAGAGGATAGGCCCCCGCAGCCCTGGGTCTGTCCGCAGATGTGGACGAGTGTGCGTCCGGCCGTGGCGGCTGTGAGCACCACTGCACCAACCTGGTGGGCTCCTTCCAGTGCTCATGTGCAGCCGGCTTCCGGCTGGACGAGGACCGCAGGGGCTGTGCCCGTGAGTCTGCGCCCCTCCCCACAGGGACCCGGCCCTCTAGCTCCTGCTCCGGGTGCCCCTCCTCTTCCCTCCCGCTGCGGCCGGCCTGGGGCAGCAGGTGGGGGAGGGCTGCCCGGGGGGTCTTGGGTGGTCCAGCTCCTGCCCTGTGCAGGTGACACGAGGGACAGAGGAGTGTCCAAGGGGAAGAGAGCTGCCGCGCCCCCCCCCCCGCCCCGTCCCTCAGGAGGGCAGCTGGGATGCTCCCTTGCCACCGTGCTGAGGAGGGGTGGGGCAGGGGCTGCAGGGCGAGACCAAGGGGTGGGACTCGGGCTTGAGCCGCCTCTGGGCACCGGCCCTGAGGGCAGGAGGGTCTGGTACCAAGGAGGACAGGGGGGTGGCAGGCGCTAAGAGTCCTTTGTGCCCCCTCCCAGCCCTGGAGATCCCCGAGGTGGACCTGGACGGCCAGCTGCCCTTCGTGCGGCCCCTCCCACACGTCGCGGTGCTCCAGGACGAACGGCCTCCCCTCTTCCAAGACGACTATGTCGGGGTCCAGGAGGAGGAGGAGGAGGCGGTGGCGGCGGAGGTCCGGGGCGAGCACACACTGATGGAGAAGTTTGGTGAGAAGCGGGCCCAGCCGTGAGGCTTCTGCTCACAGGGACCGTGGCCCGTGCTCCCTCGCCTGGCCGCTGCCTGCCCTATGGTCTTGGGCTTGGGGAAGAGCCCGGTCGTGGTCTCATTTGACCAAGGCTCAGAGAAGGCGCTGGGTTTGCCCAGCACACGTGCAGCTGAGTCCGGCTGGACTTGGGCCCTGACGTGCCCCCTCCTCCCTGGTCTGTCCCCAGTCTGCCTGGACGCCTCCTTTGGCCAGGACTGCAGCCTCACGTGTGACGACTGTCAGAATGGGGGGGCCTGCCTCCCGGGCCTGGATGGCTGTGACTGCCCCGAGGGCTGGACCGGCCTCATCTGCAATGAGAGTGAGGCCACGGGGCTGGGGGGTGGGCGTGATTTCTGGGACCTGCGGCAGCCACCCTGGGCAGGGTCCCGGGGACAGGCAGGGCCTGGCGGCTGTCCCTCGTGGATGGTCCAGGGCAAGCAGACCAGCAGCTGAGGCAGGGGAGAGTAGCTGGTGGGCGGGCCGGTCTCGTCCCGTCCGGCGTACGGCGGCCACCACCCAGGCCACTCGGAGGAGGGTAGCTGGCGTGCCTTTGAGACCCGCTCTCGCAGCCCCGGCGGGTGACACTGGGCCAGGCATACGGTGCTGGTCGGTCTCCGGGGCTCTGGCTGCTGAGAGCCCCGCTGAGAAGGTGGACGTGCCGGAGGTCGGGGGAGGGGATGTCTGCCTGGGGTGGGGCTGGGCCGGGGGCTCCAGTGCTGCAGCTGGGGGCTCTGGGCGGGGGCTTCTGAGCTGGGCGGCTTGCGCCCGGGGAGCGTGTCTCAGTGTCCCCGAGGGGCTGCCGGGACCACCGTCGTCTTGCAGGCTGGCGACCCTCACGCTTCACCGTGCCCCCTGCAGCTTGCCCTCCGGATACCTTCGGGAAGAACTGTAGCCTCTCCTGCGGCTGCCGGAATGGCGGGACCTGCGACCCCGCGACGGGCGCCTGCCGCTGCCCTCCCGGGGTTGGTGGAGCCCGCTGTGAGGACGGTGGGTGCAGCCCCGTCCGGGACCCTGGAATGTCCCTGGGGTGGAGGGGATGGGACACGACCTCTCAGCGGGCGCTTTCTCCTGGCCGCCGGCCTTCGGGGAGCGGGAGGGGACGCAGCAGCGCAGTGAGGGCGGTGTGGCCTTCCCTCTGTTGGCTTTTCCTGGGGCCCAGCCGCAGCACATGGGAAGATTTGGCCGACTAGCACGTCTGCCCTGGGGTCCCCTGCCAGGTAGTGAGCTCCCCGTTCCTGGAAGCATTCGAGTAGAGCTGTTTGGCGGCTGGGTGGGATTTGCCTGGGCCCATGGCTGCATGGGACAACCGTGCTGTCCTCTTGAACTGTGAAGTGTCTGCATGTTTGGAGGAATTTGTGGGTCCCCACAAGGGTCCCAGGTGACTGATGCTTTACCTTTAAGACCCTTAGACTTCCGCCTCTTTGGTGGAGACTGTAGCCAATGAGCTGAGAACTTCCCGCTCAGCACGGGGGTAGTTTCAGTTCCTGGAACCCATCCCTGGGGCTTCGGGATGGCAGCCTTGCGGGGCCGTCCTCCTCCCCCTCTGGTCAGACCTCGCGGCTCCTCCGCGTCCCTGCCCTTCCCTTGGAAGCCCGCCGTGTGCGGGCAGCTGCACGGTGGGGCCATGTCCTTCCAGCCCCTGCCTCTGCCTTCCCCTGTCCGGTTTCCTCTCCTTCCTCTTTTAAGGACACTCATGGGTTAGGATAACCCGGGGAAGTCTCACCAGCAGATCCTGGGGACTTAGGCATGGATGTATTTCGGGGTGACTGTCTAACTCCCTGTGGCCCTTCAGGAGGCAGGCCTGGGGCAGGACTGGGCCCGAGGGAGGCGCTTCGGGAAGGAAATCCAGATGCTCTCTCCTAGCCTGGGGCCCCCTGGGCTTGGTCCCGGGATGCTGGCCAGTTGAGGCTTCTCTGGGGGCCGGGGGGTGCTGGGTGACCACCGAGAAGTGGATGTCAGGATGCAGTAGGTGGGGTGGGACACAGGGTTTCAGGGTGAGGTCTCTGTGCGTCTCCCACGCGTATGCTCAAGAACGTCCTTGGCTTCGCGCCGTGGGCCATCCTCCAGACCACAGACGCTGGGGAGACAGGCCAGCCGGGGCCGGTGGCCATATGCATGGCTCATCTTGGGTCTGCCCTGTCCTCGTGGTGCCCTTGTCTGCCCTCTGGGCCCGTCCTCAGGCGCTGGTGACCCTGCCCAGGGGGCCTGGGCCCCTCCTAGCTCCTGTGCTGGGCACGGGGCCCCTCGGAGTATCCCCACGGGCGTGGGACGCGTCCAGGTGGGCACTCAAGAGGCCCGGCCTCCCGCAGGCTGCCCCAAGGGCTTCTATGGCCAGCAGTGCCACAAGAAGTGCCACTGTGCCAACCGTGGCCACTGCCACCGCCTCTACGGGGCCTGCCTCTGTGACCCGGGGCTCTACGGCCGCTTCTGCCACCTGGGTGAGTCCCCTGCCCTGGCTGCCGGCGTCTGGGGGGCAGGGCGGTGCTGCCACAGCAGGCCCGCACACTCCCGTGCCTTGCTGCCTGCACCCTGGCTCGGGAGGGACCCTTCCTCTGCAGAGGGCAATGCAGGGCTCAGCGGGGTCCCCCGGCTGGGACATGGGCCCCAGGGACCCAGAGCCATGTCCTCTGGGCTGTGCTGGCCTTCAGGGTGCCTGGGGGGGGGCATGGTCCCCGCCTTCTGTCGCCCCTGGTCCCACAACCGGGCTAAGGGGTCGGCGACAGCTTGGGCAGGGGCAGACCTCCCTCGGAAGCTTCTGGGGACGGGGCTCACCTTGGCTGTTGGAGTTTGCCGGCAGCAAGGGTGAGTCCTAAATCCCCAGTGGGGCTCCCTGAATCTCCAGGGGTTACCCAGGAGGAGTCACCACTCCCTGGTGGGCTGTGGGGGAGATGTGGGTGATGAGCCAACTTCATCTGGGAGCTCCGTATGGTGCTTTGTAGAAGGATCATTTAAAACGGGGAGATGGGGATTCCGAGTCTCCTGGCTGGGAAGTGGTAGGACCCAGGGCAAGGACCTGGACTCCGTGGAGACCCGGTTTCTCATCTATGAAACCAGCACGGTGGTCCCAGTGGCTGGGGCGGGTGGTGCCTCTCTGCATGGCTTTCGGGGGCTGGAGACCCAGGGACCCGGGAGGGGCTCACGCACACGGGTAGGCAGCCCCCCTGTCTTGGTTCTGTGGGTGCAGCCTGTCCACCATGGGCCTTCGGGCCTGGCTGCTCCGAGGAGTGCCGATGTGAGCAGCAGAACACGCTGGTCTGTGACAGGAGGGACGGCAGCTGCTCCTGCAAGGCCGGCTTCCAGGGCAAGCGATGTCAGGATGGTGAGTGCAGGGGTGCGGGGTGGGGGGCCCCGGGCTGGCTGACCTTGCAGGTCCCTCTCTCCTCGCCCCCTGCAGAGTGTATGCCAGGCTTCTTTGGGCCTGGGTGCCTACAGGCGTGCACCTGTCCTCAGGGTGTGGCCTGCGACCCCGTCAGCGGCCAGTGCGGGAGGCCGTGTCCAGCCGGCTACCAGGGGAAGGACTGTGGTCAAGGTCAGTGGCTGGCCCCAGCCCCCCGGAGTGCTGTGACCAGGACGGGGAGCCGCCAAGCCACCTGGCTCCACCCTTGTCACACAGTGGTGACTGCACTGGTTGGCCTGTCCCTGTGACCGTGGTCTGGGCTGCTGGGGCAGGAATAGTCTGTGCGCCCAGGGAAGGGGTCGCCTCCTCCAACGTTGTGTCCTTCCTACCCCCCCCCCAACTTGTTAGCTACAGTGTCCTCAGTGTGCTGTGACCCAGGGGCTGGCTCCCTGTCCTGGTGGGCCGGAGTCTGTGGGGCCCGGGCAGCTGCTAGAGCACAGGCTCGGGCTGGAGGTACAGCGCGGCGTGTGGCCTGTGATGAGGGCCGTCCACATGGCTGCGCTGGCCTGGGCTGCAGGGTGTGCGTGCAGAGCGGTGGGCCCGGCTGGGGCTGGCTGGACTGCGGCCATCCTCTCCCCCAGGGCTATTTTGATCCTGGGGGCTCTGATCACAGCAGCTCCTTCCAGGGGCCGCGCCCGCCTTCCTGGGCAGGGCTGCCCAGGTTTCCCCGTGGGGCAGGCTGTGTGCAGGGTGGTCGGGCTTCCAGCGAGGTGGGCGGGCAGGGCTCTGCCTGTCCCCGCAGGGAGGTGAGAGGCTCCGGGCCCCCATGTGCTTCGAGGCAGCCCTACTGTGGGCACAGAGCCCCTAGGCTGGTCCTTCTCAGAGGCCCTCTTTCCTTGGTCTCCACTCTTCCCCAGGGTCTCACTGCCCCTCTGTTGGGCAGAAGAGGAGGGGGGCCCAGGCCTCCAGGTCCTCCACACCCTCTGAACGTGCCTGGCTCCCATGGCAGCCGCCGTCCTGCTAGGACAGGGCCACAGCCGGGGGTAGAGTGGTGTCTGCAGACCCCCACCTCACCCCACCCCACACTCTCTGGGGCTCTGAGATGGGGGCAGACTTGTCCTCGGCTGGGTGGGGGAGGAAGGAGGGTGGCGCTGCTCCCAGGTTGGTGCAGGGTGCCCTCCAGGGTGCTGGGTGCCCACAGAGTCCACCCTGCACCCCCCTCTCCATGCACGGTCAGCCCAAGCAGGCCCCTCCCTGCCTGGGTGCCTCATGCTCTGCCTGCTCCTGAGATCCCCATGGTCACCCGGGGGACCCTGGCTGAGCCCATCAGCCCTGCTGGGGCAGGGGTGTGGCTCCACAAAGGGGTGGCTGAGGCCCTTCCTGTCCCTTCCTGCAGAGTGCCCGGAGGGGACATTTGGTGTGAACTGCTCGGGGTCCTGCTCCTGTGGGGGGGCACCCTGTGACCGGGTCACGGGGCAGTGTCTGTGCCCCCCAGGGAAGACGGGGGCCGACTGTGGGGCAGGTGAGTGGCCGTGGTGTCCTGTGATCCCCTCCCCTTCCTGTGCCCGCAAGTCTGGGGGGTCTCAGCCCTGGCTGAGAGACCCCAGGCCTGTCCTTAGCGGCTGAGAGCCCACACCGAACCACCCTTGGGTCTGCGCTGACCTGGGAGCACCGGGAACCTGTCCGCGCGTTGCCAGCCTGTCTCTCTGGGCCTATGGTTTGCCCTCCAGGCTACCTGCCCACCGCCCGTCCTGGGGCAGGGGCTCCTCTTCTGGGGGTGGTGCTGTGCGGCCCGCAGCCCAGGGAGGGGTTGGGGGTTCCCATGACCTGTTGTTCCCCCTCTCCTGGGCCGTGATGCAGGGTCAGCAGCCAAGTCAGATGGGGCCAGCGAGGCCCTAGAGGATACTGACTGGCTTGGGGGGGGGGGGTCTAGACTGTCCGGAGGGGCGCTGGGGGCTCGGCTGCCAGGAGATCTGTCCAGCGTGTGAGCACGGTGCCACGTGTGAGCCTGGGACTGGAGCCTGCCTGTGTCCCCCGGGTTACACAGGCAGTCGCTGCCAGGACCGTGAGTATGGGTCCCCCGACCCGCAGTACGTAGCCCCGATCCTGTGCCCCCGCCGCCCCGGCTGAGCCTGCCCCTCCCCCCGCCCCCGGCCCGCAGCGTGCCCAGCAGGCTGGTTCGGGCCCGGCTGCCAGATGAGATGCTCCTGTGCCAATGATGGGCACTGCCACCCGGCGACGGGACGCTGCAGCTGTGCCCCTGGATGGACCGGCCTCAGCTGCCAGAGAGGTGGGTGGCCCAGGGCTCAGGGTGGGGGGCCAGAGGGGGGCCCGTGGCGGGCCTGGCCGCGGGGCCTGTGCTCGGCCGGGCCTGTGTGGGCTGACCAGCGCTCCATTGCAGCCTGTGACAGCGGGCACTGGGGACCCGACTGCAGCCCAGGCCACGGGAGCTGCGACACGGTCAGTGGCCTGTGTGTGTGTGAGGCCGGCTACACAGGCCCGCGGTGTGAACAGCGTGAGTCCTGGGCCGCCCACAGCCGCACACCCCATGTGCATGCACGCCCATGCACGCACGCACGCACGCATGCACGCAAGTACCAGGGGCTCTGGTCCCGCCCTTCTGTCTGCGGGACAGGCGGAGGGTCTCGCTCCCTGAGCTCCCTCAGCTCCCCGTGTCCCGTTGGGCCCAGGCTCCCCCGCCCCCCGCAGCCGACCCTGGTCTGTAAGGTCACCTGGAGCACCAGGCAGGGAGAGCAGGGACCTGGCACCGGGAGGAGGGGAGGACCGAGGGCCATGAGCTTCTGCGTGTGTCCCCCACCGCCCCCCAGGCTGGGGCAGCTCCAGAGGCCACGCCTGGGGCTCCTACCTCCCCGGGTCAGAGGAGAGTGCCCCACGGTCCCCGCCCCCAGCCGGGATGACAGAGGTGCAGGCGCGTCTCAGTGGGTCTTCCCCACTCTGGCTGACAGTGGGCGGGGGCGGCATGTCTCAGGGTGTCCCCAGGGCCACTTTGGGCCGGGCTGTGGGCGGCAGTGCCAGTGTGAGCACGGGGCAGCCTGCGACCACATCAGCGGGGCGTGCACCTGCCCGGCCGGCTGGAGGGGAACCTTCTGTGAACGCGGTGAGCTGGGACGTGTGCCGGGGTGGAGGGCGGACCCCGCCGCCCTGGACGTGGCCCATCACAGCCGCCCCCGCCCCTCCGCTCTCCACAGCCTGCCCGGCGGGCTTCTTCGGCCTGGATTGCGGCGGCATCTGTGACTGTGCCGCCGGGGCCCCCTGTGACTCTGTGAGCGGCTCCTGCCTCTGCCCTGCCGGCCGCTGGGGCCCCCGCTGTGCGCAGGGTGCGTGAGGCCCGGGCGGCCCTGGGGGCTCTTGGAGACAGGCCGGGGCCTCCTCCTCCAGCTGCCAGGTGGCCACTTAGAGACGCCGTTGGCCATGCTGAGGGGTGCCCAGGCCAGAGGAAGGGAAGCCTGCCCAGCTGCCCCAGGTCTGCGCAACCCCTCCGGCCCCTGACGTTCCCCTCCCTCCTGCAGCCTGCCCTGCCCCCACCTACGGGCACAACTGTAGCCAGACCTGCTCCTGCTTCAACGGGGCGTCCTGTGACCCCGTCCACGGACAGTGCCGCTGCGGCCCTGGCTGGATGGGCCCCACCTGCCTAGAGCGTAAGCCCACCCCCACCCCAGGAACACCACCCACTCCCCGCCGTGGGTCACACAGGGTCACGTGGGCGTGGGATGCCGCAGGACAGGAGACTTGGCAGGAGCGGTGGGCAGGGGGGCCGGGGCCTGTTGCGCCCCACGGGGCACCTGGCACGATGAGGGGGAGGGCAGGGAGATGCCGAGCTCCCCAGGGCGGGGTTGGTGGGCCCAGGGTGGCCTGGGGTGGGTCGTCTTAGCGGCAGCCCTGGGAGAGGTCCTCCCCGTAAAGTCTGGTGCTGGGCTTTGGGGGGACCGGAAGGTGCAGAAGCACCGGGGCTGCCTCTTGATGGGGGCGAGGCGTGGAGCCCGCTGGGCCGGGCCGGGCCGCTTGCTGTGAGCCGCTCCCCTCCCGCAGCATGCCCCACGGGCTTGTACGGCGACGGCTGTCAGCACACCTGCCTCTGCCAGCACGGGGGCACCTGTGACCCCATCTCAGGCCACTGCACATGCCCCGAGGGCTGGGCTGGCCTGGCCTGCGAGCAAGGTGAGCCTGGGTCAGGCAGAGGAGGGGGGTGGGGAGGGCCGGGGTGTCCGTCCTGAAGTACGCTGGCTCACCCTCTACTCTCTGGGGGCATGGGGGGGCTTTCTGCAGGCGGGTCTGCGCTGTGACCCTCCCCCAGGTCCCTCTCCTCCTCAAGGACAGGGGCCCGAGGCTCTGGGTGCGGGAGGCACCGGTGGGGTGGGGGTCTCCTGGGCCCCGGTGGCCTGGGGCACTCCTGGGGTACCGTGCCCTGCAGAGTGCTCCCCGGGGCACTTCGGAGCCGGCTGTGAGCACAGTTGCGGGTGTCTCAACGGCGGTGTCTGTGATGGGCGCTCAGGCCACTGCCTCTGCCCCGCCGGCTGGACCGGGGACAAGTGTCAGAGCCGTGAGTGGGCCGCATTGGGGGCTGGGGTGCAGAGGGGGCCCAGGAGGACCCACTGGTCCCGTCATGGGGTGGCCTCAGCCTCGCTCCAGGGTGGAAGGCCCCATGAGGTGGTCCCTTGGCAAGTGGGGGCAGGGGCTGCCGTCCAAGCTCCCGGGGGTCCCCTGGGGGAGGGGTGGGGGGCGTCTGGCTCTCCTCGTACCCTGGGAGCCTCTGCCTCGTCTCGCCCACCGCAGCCTGTGCTGAGGGCATGTTTGGGGCGCGCTGTGAGGAACACTGTGCCTGCCGGCAGGGGGCCCCCTGCCACCACGTGACGGGGGCCTGCCTCTGCCCCCCGGGATGGAGAGGCTCACGGTGCGAGAATGGTGAGCCCCTGGGCCCTGCCAGCCCCTTGGGTGGGACAGTTCTTGGCACGGGGATGGGGGTCCCTCTGGCTGCCCCAGGGCTCCCCACCACCCCCCACACTGGCTTCCTGCAGCCTGTCCGCGTGGCTGGTTCGGAGAGGCCTGTGCCCAGCTCTGCCGGTGCCCGCCCGACACCGCCTGCCACCACGTCACTGGGGAGTGTCACTGCCCACCAGGCTCCACGGGGCCCGGCTGTGAGCAGGGTAGGTGACCCCACCCAGGGGGGCAGAGCTGCTGGTCACGGAGGCACACGGCCCCCGAGCTGCACCCGACCCCTCCACACGGGGCCAGGACTGACCTCTCCCGCCCGCACCCCAGCCTGCCCACCCAGCCCCTCTGGGTGGAGCTGTGGACGGAAGTGCCCGCTGGGCTGTCCTCGGGAGGGGCTGCTCATCCCAGAGGCTCACCCCAGCCTCTGGCACCTGCCCCTGTCCCTGCAGGGTGCCCCCCGGGGCGGTTTGGGCCTGGCTGTGAGGAGCGCTGTGGTTGTCTCCCCGGGGCCTTCTGTGACGCAGCCACTGGGGCCTGCCTCTGTCCTGCCGGCTTCCTGGGGGCGGACTGCAGCCTGCGTGAGTGGCTGGGGAGGGAGGGTGTGGCTGCTCCCTGGGCCTTGGGGGTGGGGCCCCCTGACCATCTGTCTTCCTGATTGTCCCACCACGTTTGGCCCCAGGCTGGGCTGAGGTGGAGGGTGTCCGTGTGACACCAGTGTCCCTGCCGCCCGGCTCTGTTTCCTCCTCCCCACACCCTGCAGGGGCTTGTGGACCTCTGTGCAGACGGAGGCCAGCTGGGCATCCCGCCGAGGACAGCGCCCTTCTCTGAGTCGTGGGGACTTCCCACGGGTTTGGGAAATTGGCTGGGCTGGTGGGAGTGGGTTGGGGGCAACAGGGACTCACTGTCCCTGCAGAACTGGCCTGGCCTCCAGCCGAGCTGCGGGGGGAGGAGAGATGCCAGGGCGGGCAGGGGCAGGGGACGTCCCTGCAGCCCATCCTGTCTCTGGGTGATGTGGCACAGAGAAGGGGAGCCGGCAGGGCTGGCCACCGTCCTCTTTCCTCCCAGCAGGCTGTCCACAGGGCCGCTTCGGTCCTGGCTGTGCCCACGTATGCCGGTGCGGGCAGGGAGCAGTGTGTGACCCGGTGACTGGCAGCTGCTCCTGTCCCCCCGGGAGGAGTGGCGTCCACTGTGAGCACGGTGAGCGCCCGCTCTGCCTGCCTGTCGTCTCTCATGGATGCCGCGGCGTCAGCCCTCAGTGGAGGCTGACGAGGAGAAGCCATCGGTTCCCAGGGGAGATCCAGGTTCTCGAGCCAGGGGTGCATTTGGCCAGTTGCCTCCGCTGATCCTGTCAAGCCGCTGGCAGGGGCCGGACACTGTCCACCCATAGCCTCTGAGCTGGAGGGTCCAGCGGCTGTTTTGTCTGAGGACGGGGCCAGCTGCCCAGCTCAAGTCCTGTGGCTCTTTCTGCTGGGCCCAGAGGCCAGGGAGCCCAGGAGGAGGGAGGCCTGGAGTACAGGGTGTGGTGGGGGAAAGGAGCAGTCATGGGGCTCCTGCCCGTGATGGCAGTCCTGGGCCCCATGACCCCATGGGCCCTTGGCCTGGCTCCCATCCCCCGGTCCCTGGTAGGTCAGAGCACTCTGCCAGCCTTTGGGCCTCATCAAGGAGTCAGCGACCCTCCCGCTGACCCCCTAGGTATTCGCCCGTGGCAGCAGAGTTCTAACCGCTCGGGCCTGGCACAGCCAGGCTGTGTCCTCACGTCCGGGGACCTACAGCAGCTGTGGGCCAGATTATGACGGGGGCCGTCTGGAGAGCCTAGCAGCCTGGCCTCCTCAGCCTGGAGGATGGGCCTGTGCGGAGGGCCACCACCTCCAGGAAGGCTGCCCTGATCAGCTTCTGCCAGCTGGGCAGGCACTCCCCGCCCCTCCTCGGTGCTCAGCCAGGCCTGGCATTTGCGGAGAAGAGGGATGAGTGGGCAAGACACGGCTGCTATCTGCTCCCTGGCACGTGTGGGGCAGAGACTGGCCCCAGGAAGTGTTTGTTGAGTGAAGGTGGTGGGGACATGTCCCCAGAGCGTGTCCAGTCCCTGAGCTCTGACTGGTGCCTGACTTCTGCCCCCAGGCTGCCCTCAGAACCGGTTCGGCGTGAGCTGTGAGGGCGTGTGCTCCTGCAGGAACGGGGGCCTGTGCCACGCGGCCAACGGCAGCTGCTCCTGCGGCCTGGGTTGGACGGGGCCGCGCTGTGAGCTGGGTGAGCCGGCAGACCGAGCCCTGGTCGGGGAGGGGGGGACTCTGGACCCCCGGGGAGAGCACAGGGCCGCTGTGGGGGCTGGGCGAGACCCCCCCAAGGTCGTGAGAGTCAGGCTAGTGCCCGGGGACCGCCCCCGGGTCCCCTGCTCCTCCGCGGCGGGAGACCGACCTGCGAGCTCTCTCCCCAGCCTGCCCTCCCGGTCGCTATGGGGCCGCCTGCCTCCTGCAGTGCTCTTGCCAGAACAACGGCACGTGCGAACCCACCACCGGCACCTGCCACTGCGGCCCCGGCTTCTACGGCCAGGCCTGCCAGCACTGTGAGTCCTGGGGCGCGACCCCGGCCCCCATGGCTGCTCATCCTGTGTGGGAGATCAGGGCCCATGTGGGCTTTCATAGCGAGGGCCGCTGTCCCTTTCTCTCCCGGTGGCGGCCCATGAGATAAGGCCTGGCTCCATTCCCCGTGGGACTCCTCTGGCTCAGGGTCCCATGAGAGCAGGTGAACCTCCCACTGGAGCCCCAGACTTGATGGGGGGGATCCAGACCCAGGTGGGAGAAAGGGCGAGCACAAGCCCCTGAACCAGGACCTTTGCTCACTGGGGGCGGACTGAGGTAAGGGCTCTAACAGGGTTGTCCTTCAGCCTGTCCCCCTGGCTTCCACGGGGCTGGCTGCCGGGCCGTGTGTGCGTGTCAGCATGAAGCCCCTTGTCACCCCGTCAGCGGTCAGTGTGTCTGCCCTGCCGGCTTCTCTGGCCAGCTCTGCGAGAGGGGTGAGTGCTCTGTGTTCCCATGTGCTCCCCTGGCCTTGCTGTGTTGGGTAGGGGACAGGAAGGGATGCTGAGTCCACTGTCCCCCACCAGGGTGTGAACCAGGCTCTTTTGGAGAGGGCTGCCACCAGCGCTGTGACTGCGAGGCAGGGGCACCCTGTGACCCCGTTACCGGCCAGTGCCTGTGTCCCCCAGGGCGCACAGGGGCCGCCTGTAACCTCGGTGAGTCTGGGGTCCCGCTCAGCAGGGCACGGGTGCGGGTCTCTGCTGGTGGAGAAGATTGTTTGTGCAGGGGGGCCCCTGCCCTCCAGTGCCAGTCCCGCCCTTCTGTACGGGGGTGCCCAGCGTGGGGCTCCTGCTCCGGGATGTCAAGGGCTCACCCTGCTCTATGGCCGGAACGGGAGCCCCGTGAGGTGGGAAGGAGCCTCCTGACCTGCCGGCCTGCTTGGACATAGAAGGGCCTGTCCACGGCAGGCTGCGCACCTGACCTTGCTGTGGTGGCTCGCCCTGACCTGGGGCATCCCGGACGGCCCGGCCCCCTTTGTCAGCCCTGGGCTGGGCAGGCGCCCAGGACCTGGCGCTTTCCTGTGTGGGAGCTCACACAGGGCAGGAAGAGTGAGGCCCGAGAGGCCTCTGCTTCCTCCACCCCTCCACAGAGGGCCTGGGGTGCCCCGGCCAGAGCGGCAGGATGGCCCTCAGGCCCGTCTCTCCCCCTCCCTCCCGCCTGTAGACTGCGCAGCGGGCTTCTTCGGGCCGGGCTGTGTCCTGCGCTGTGGCTGCGGGGCTGGGGCGGCCTGTGACCCCGTCACCGGGTGGTGCCACTGTGCGGACGGCTACCTGGGACCCACCTGCCAGCAAGGTGAGTCAGGCTCCCGAGGGGGAGGCGGGAAGACAACCGGCTCCCCAGTCCCCCCAGTCCCTCCGCCCCACACACCGAGCTGAGCGGCCAGGCCAGCTGGCGAGAACGCGGCTGTCCCCGCGGGTGTGCTCGGCTCCTCAGGGGCGGGGACACCGTGCTGGACCTCAGGGCAGCGTTCTGCTGCCCCCGTGGGCCGGGCCGGACAGTCCAGTGTAGCCGGGCGCCGACCTGGCCCCCCACCCCCTCCCCGCCTTGCCCTGCGTGTGTGTGAGCCCGTGCACGCGTGGGCTCCAGTCTGCGTGCTGAGCCCTGTGTGTGTGCACACCAGTGCCCGCCGGCTCCCGCGCCAGCCCCGGGTGCGGGGGTTGCCGTGACAGCGGCTTGGCCTCTTGGCCCCCACGGCCCCCACAGCCCCTGGGGGAACATACGTCTGCAAGCAGAACTCGGGGTGCCCCTGGAGCCCCCCGGTCAGCTTGCCCAGGCCGCCGAAGGGAGGGGAGATGTGCTGGGAGGGTGGCGTCCGGGCCCGCGGGGACGGGCTGTGTAGTCAGGGGAAGCCAGCAGCCAGGTGGGGAGTGGGGAACCCCACCTGCGGGCTGGATGTTGTATACGCGTGTTTTTGAGCCTGGCAGCCCGGCCTGGCTGTTAGGAGCCCTGGGGCGGGTCTCACGGCGGCCGTGGGCCGGGTGCCGGCTGCGGCCCGAGCGCCCCCATGGCGGCACCTGGTGGTGAGCTGTGGTACTGCATGGCAGGCCCCGGGCCGACCCTGCTACTGGGACGTGTAGCTGGGGTCTGGGCCCTGGTTGTCACCCTTCAGGCCAGTGGGAAGGAGGAGAGGCAGGGCTGCACTGCCTTGCAGTCCTGGGCCCTGCCCCCTGCCCTGGAGTGGACTGGCCGGCTTCTTGTAGAGCCCCCGCCGTGCTGCTGGGCTGGGGGCACTGGGAGCGTTCATCTGGGGAGGGAGGAGCCCCGCTGTTGGCATGGGTGTGAGCAGGGCACAGGCTGCGCTGGGGAGGACGCTGCAGGCCTGGGTGAGAGAATGGCCTTGCATTTGGGGTATCACGGGCCTGTGACCAGCGACGGAGGCCAGAGGACAGATGAGGACTGCACACTAGCACACAGCGTGGGCCCCGCGGGGCAGCGGGCAAGCCACAACCTGGACCTCCCAGATGAGGCAGAGGCTGGGGAGGGAGGAGGGGCCGGGCTGCCAAGGCAGGAGGGGACACGGGAGGTGTGAGCCCAAAACTCCAGCAGCATCAAGAGTTTCCACCTGCCATGGCGCTGACCTTTTCCCGTCTCTACAGCAGCCTCACAGCTGGCGTCTCACCGACCAGCACTGGGGCTCAGCAGCGGGGCCGAGAAGCACTAGCTCAGAGACAGCCCCCAAGCAGGCCCGTCTTCCAGGCGCCTTGGCGACGACTGACGAGGGCGCCCTTGGGCCGGCCAGGACTCTGCCCGGACTGCCTGGCCCTGCAGCCTCTCGCTCGGAAAGGGGAGGGAGGCCCCGCCTGGCCCAGCTCCAGGGAGCCCAGGCGGTGGGCCCGGCCTCCGGCTGCACAGCCACACAGCCACACAGCTGCGGGGCCCGCAGGAGCTGGGGAAGCCCTCCCCCCGCCCCCCTGCCACCCCCTCCGCGACCCTGGGTGGGGACTGAGGGCAGGCGCAGGCGCAGAGAGGGGTCCCTGCGCTCTGGGCAGGTTCTTCTGGTGCTAGGCCCTGGGACTGCAGTGCTCAGCCCGGCCACCTGCCGCCGTAGCCCGCTGTGTTTATGGGCGGCTGACCACGCCCGCTGCACCCCTGGGCCCTGGAGTGCTGCCTGTCCCTGCCTGCCCCAGGAAACCCTGCTGCGGGACTTTGGGGCCCCGTGGGGTCGCTGGGCACGAGCTCCGGTACATGTGCAACCCAGAAACCCAAGAAAGAAGCCGCCGCTTCCTCGTGGCCTGTGCCGTTGTTGCTTTGGGCTCACTGTGCGGCCCTCCCAGTGCGCCCGCAGGAGTGTGTTGGGACAGGAACCTCCTCCAGACCAGGGAGGCACCACAGCCCCCCCCCCGGCCCCATCTGGTCCCTGCCCCTCCCTGGGGGTGGGGTGGACATAAGGAGAGCTGGGGTCTGTCCAGGTTCCTGGTGCTCTTGGGGGGCACATGGGAGCTGGTCTGTGTGTGGGAGCGTGGCCCTGCGGGGAGGAGGCTGGCCCGAGGGCAGGGGTGACGACATGTCTTCAGGGAGTGTACAGCGGAGGGGGTGACGAGCATCCCGGGGGCGGGTGGCCAGTGGACTGGGTTGGACCCAGATGGCCCCACCGGGCACTTAGGGTCTGAGCTGTAGCCCCTGCGTCCCCCCCAGCACCAGCCTAGCTGGCGGTTATCCTCAAGGCAGAGGGTCTGGTGGAGCAAAATGAGGGGGTTCTAGCAGCCGGTCGGTCTCCTTAACCAACTAGGGAACTGCCCGTCCATGAAATGTCAGTGGGCTGTGTCCAGGCTTTCCAGTAAGTGGAATGAATGCTCCCGGAGGGGACAGGGTGCCAGGCTGGTGACCAGGCTGGAGAAGCCGTTCTGGGAGGAGCAGTGGGGAGGGTGGCCCGGGGGCTGGACAGCGGGTTCTGCCATCTGGGTGCTCTGCTGGGAGGCGGCAGGGAGGCTGGGAGGAAGAGGATGCCGGAGAGGAAGGTTAATGGAAGCGGGGGAGGGGAGGTGTTAGCCTCTGGTGAGGCTTTAGGGCAAGAAGAGAAGCAGGTATGGGAAGCAAACACAGGAGCGATCTCAGACAGAAGCACTGGATGTGGCAGAACTGGAGTAAGAAAGCCACAATGTAAGGAACTTTAAGGAAATGACCAGCAAGGAGGGGTCCTAAAAGGCCCAGGAAAGAACGGAAACCTGTGTGTCAGACTTGAAACTCTGGAAACCACGACAGTGACATTCTGTTCTCAAAGCACCAAAGAAAAATTTCTGGAACTCGAAAGTGTGTTCAAGTGTCTGAGAAACAAAGTCAGGGTTACTCCCGGGGGCTGACCTCGGAGCCGGAGCTGAAACCCTGGCCGGGGGACGCTTGCCAGCAGGGACGGCAAGAAACGCGTCCGCTGGTGGCAAAGGAGAATGAAACACTCACCGTGACTGACCACAGAGGCTCGGGAGCAGGGGCGGGAGAGCGTGCTGGGTCCCTACCTGCCGGGGAGGGACGTGACAGACCCCGGGTGCGGGCGTGGGGAGGGCCCCTGAGTGCATTCGCCTCCCGGGCAGGCAGGCCTGCTCCCTGCAGGAACGCTGGCGGGCTGGGCAGCCTTTCAGCCCCTGGAGGGCCTGTCCTCGCCAGGGTGGAAGGTGGGAGGGAGGACCAGTAGGGTGAGAACGTAGATCGCAAAGCCCATGCATGGGGACAAGGGACGGTCAGAACCCAGGTCCCAGGGTGGTCTTAGACCCTGCTCGACGGTATTTTAATGGTGAAAGATGCCCCAGAAGGCTGGACGTAGACGCATGCTAAGTAAATGAGAAGAGAGCTGGGCTACGAGCTCTGGTGTTTCAGGGTGAAACCTGGGAATCCGCGTGCGGCCGTCAGCTCGGGACAGCGGAGGCTCGGAATTCCCAGAACAGAGGCTGGAGCAGCTGGAAAGAAACCGTGCCAGCTGGGGAGGCTGATGTGTTCTTAAAAACCCAATAAATAAGTCAGGCAGACAGGCCACGGGCCACGAGAGAAGTCTAGTAAGCTTTAGCACACGGGGACACAGTCATGCTCACAGCCGTGTGTTCGTGCTGTTCCGCGCACAGAACTCATGTCTGCGTGTGTAGGCGTCGCCGTCACACATGGGGACCCGCTGCGCTGAACGGCTGTCTAGGAGATGGGGCCCCGCTTGCTCTGTGCTGGACCCCCCCCCCCCCCGAATGGATGGGGCCTGGGTAGGGCCCTGTAAACACTGTGGAAAGAGCGAACAGCTTCCCTGGCGGTGGGGGGGGGGGGGGGGGGGTGGGGGCCACCATGGGTCCCGCCCCCCCCCCCCGCCCCCCCCCCCGGTGCTTCCCAAGCCCCACTGGGTGAGAGCTAGAAACTAGGATGGGAGGCTGTGGGGAAGAGAACCCTGCCCGGGGGCCCGGGACGCAGAAGGGCCCGCAGACAAGCGAGCAGGACTAGGCGTGAGCGGGGTGAAAGCGTGGCCGTCCCAGGAAGCGCGTAGAACCCAGGAAGGGTGACAGAGCTTCAGCAGAAGCTGTGACCAACCAGGAAACTGCACAGGTACGACATCATTCAACATGGCAGCAAGACCCATCCGTGCCCACGGTTTATCAGGCAAAAGGACACACAGAGCCCTGAACCCTGCCAGGGGTGGAGGGCCCCCGATCTGGTGTGACCCCAGGCCCGAGCGCGCCCTGCGAGGGGCTGACAGGTGACGGCTGGGGGAACGGGGTAGGGGTGTCTAACGGGCCGGGGCTGACAGGACAGGTGGCAGTAACCAAGGGTGACGATGCAGTGTGTGGAGGTCATGGACACCCAGGGCCCCTGAAGGTCGGGATGGAGACACCGACCTGCACGCCTAAGGGGCAAGGGGCAGTGGGTCTGGGGGCTCTTGTCGTGGCGTGGGCATGGGGAGCCCCAGGCACTGCTGGGGTGCCACTGTGGGCACCGGGAGGCACCAGATGTCTTTAGGCCCTGGGCCCGCCAGCCACCCGGGCCCTCGAGGGAAGTGGGTCCTCCCTGCAGAAAGGCCCCAAAATGTTCTGGAGTGGTCCTAGCAGCAAGTGGGTGGTCTGGGACAGCGTGGTGTCTGTTCCCTCCCGGGTTGGTGGACGCCCTAGGAAGCCCTGATGGCCGCCCACCCCCAGCGGGCAGAGGCTCTTGGGGCCCGTTTCCCCGCCTGTGACAAACAGGGCCGTGCAGCTGGCTGGGGGGAGGGGCTGGGCTAGAGGCCTCTGGAGACCCCTGCCCAGCCCAGCAGGTGTGGGTTCTCCCCAGGACGCCCTGGTGTCTGGGGGTGGTGGGGGGATGAAGGGGGGTGGAGGGATCCTTTAAGGCCTTAAGACCAGCTCTGCTGGAAGATAAATCAGAGCAGGCTCTGCTTGGGAAGGGCCAGGGTCCAGGCTGGCCTGCTCTGCCTCCAGTAAGGGACCCCAGGCTGAGCAGAGGCCCTCAGGGGGTATCGAGTGGGCACTGGTGCTGGGGGAAGCCCTGGCTTTCTTCTCTTCACCGTCCACCTGCCTGGGCTCCTCCAGACGTTAGCAGCCGGGCCCTGTGCTTCCTGATCCCTCTTTGAAGGGTGTCTGTCCCGCGCTGGACGGCTCTGCCCTCCCTGGGGGGACCCAGCACCCCAAGCATCCCGGGTTCTCTCCCCCACTGGCTGAGCATTCTTCCTGCTTGCTGTGGGGGGGTAGAGGAGGCGTCAGCCACTCTGCAGACGGAGGAGGACCCAAGGCTGGGTCCTGGCGTTAGGTCAGGACATTAAGGGCCGTCCAAACCCTCCCTGCTCCATTCGCTGAACACGCCCCAGCCCGAGGACGGCTGTAGGCAGGGGTTCCGCGGTGAGAGCCAGCAGGTGGGTCACCCCGCTCCTGCTGGGCACACACACACCTGCACAAACACGGCTGCGCGCCCGTGCCCTGTCCTGGTGGCCCCCTCACCCCCGCCGGGCTCTGGGAAAGGAGCTGGGAGGTGACCCACCCCTCAGGTGGGGGGTCGCAGTCCCAGCCGGACAGGGAGTGGGAGGAGCTCCTGGGGCCGCTTCCAGAGAAGCCCCGCCCTGTCACCGGCCCTGAAACCTGACCTGTCCCATCCCCCATCACGCAGAGTCCCCGCCCAGGACAGCGGGGATTTGACCTCCGCCGGGCCCTTCCGACTGCCTGAGGCCACGGATGTCCCCCACCCCCACCCCAGGTGCCGAATTCCTTCTCCTCCAAGATTCCTCAGGCAGGGCTCAGGGTAGCACCGCCTCCTCCGCACTTGGGCCTCGCACTAGCTCTGTCTCCAGGAGGCCCGGGTGGGGCAGAGGGCTGGGTCCCATCACCCACTGCCCGCAGGAAATGGGGAGCCACGCTCCTGGCTTCAGACTGGGCAGATCCTCCTAATGCCTGGAGCTGCCACTGCAAAGACATCAGTGCCCCCGCCTAGTGGCCCTGGACCGGGGACAGACCAATGGCGGGACTGGCAGGACATGACCCAGCCTTCCTGCCTTGCCTAGCAGCCCAGAGCCCAGGCTGGCCTGCCCTCCCCACCCTCACGTGCACGGCCGGGGGGAGCAGATGGGCTGAGGGAGGTGGGGACTAGGGGACATAGCAGCAGGGTCCCCAGTCCCACTGGCCAGGTTGAGCCTTGCAAGGGAGAGTGTGGGGATAGGGGTCAGGCCTTGCCCCGCACCCTTCATGTGGATAGTCAGGCCAAGGCCACAGAGGAGCAGGGGGGACCACGAACAAGGGGTTCTCCTGAGGCCCCAGGACCCACCACAGGTGCCACACCTGGGAGCCAGGCCTGGCCCTCGGCACCTTGGGGCTTCCGCAGGTACTCATCTGGCGTCCTCCTGGGCAGGTTGCCAGGGAGATCCAGGTGTTGAAGAAATACTTTAATGTCTGTGAAAACCTCAGCATCTCCGCACTGTCCCCGCAGGGTCACCTCCCTCCGGCAGGACCTCCTCTCCGAAACTGGGGCTGCCCGGACACCCAAGCCATCTGTCCCACACCGGGACAATGGAGGGAGCTGAGCCCATGTCCAATGCAGCCACAGGGCGCTGGGGGAAGGGCGGGGCTCCTCCCTGGGGCTCCAGGGAGCTGGGGCTCACCCCGCTGGGGGTGGGGGTTGTCAGGCCGCTGTGGCCCGAGAGCTGGCTGGGAGGACGGTCCTGGGGGCCTGCAGCATGCCTGACCTTCCTCCCTGGAAGAATCCGGATCCAGCATGGGGACTCGTGAAGACCCAGACCGCTCCATTTCCTGGGACAAGCAACCCCCCCACCGCCCCCAAGCCAGGCCGCTGCTGGAGCCGTCTGGAAGCAGAGCCTGGGCGTGGTGCGGTGCGGTGCGGAGGGGCGAGCGGGCTACACATCCGTCTCCACCCGCAGCCGCTCCATCCGACGAACGTTGCCCTCCACGGCCACGCGGCTGGTGATGCTTCGGGCGAAGTCCTCAGGGAACCAGCCCGTCTCCCCGTCCCTCAGCCGCTCGCCGTAGACCCAGCCTGAACACAGATGTGGGGCAGGTGAGGGCAGGGTCTGGGTTCTGGGAGACGCCAGGGCCAGGCCTCCCGCAGAACAGAGCACCCCCTGCTCCTCCGGCAGGGCCTGGCCCCGGGCCCCGGGCCCCGGGTCCTCCAGCCGCTGCTCCGCCTGGACCCTGGCGTCAGCGGCTGAGCGCGCCCTGGCCAGCTTCGGGGCCCCCAGGAGGAGCACAGCCGCCCTCCTCCTGCTGAGGACAGAGCGACAGAGAAGCTGGTTCTGATCCTGTGACTCAGGGACCTTTGAAGAGACCCTGGAGGGAGGGGCTGAAGGGCTTCAGATCAGGCCAGGCCCACCGAGAGCCGGTGCAGAAACCGCGTCTGGGGGGCCAGGCTCAGGGTCAGCTGCCCGCACCTGGCATGCTCCAGACCCTCGTGGGGGCGCCGGACGGACTCTCACTCTGGGGTCCACCCCACCTCCATCTGGCCACCACCCAGGCGCAGCCGTGCTCACCGTCCTCCTGCTCCAGTACCAGGACCACGTCGGCCTGCTGCAGCGAGATCTCGTCGGCCTGCCTGGCCAAGTAGGCCTTGGTGATCTCCACCTGGGGCAGGTCTGCGGGGGCAGGAGGAAGCGGGTGTCAGCAACAAAGCTGTCCCCAGGAGGGCCAGGGCCAGGGGCTCTGCTGCCCCAGGTCGGGCAGGGCTCCCTTCCTAACACATCCCTCGTGGCCCGGTCTCGGTGGGGCCTGGGGGGCTCTGGACACACGGCTGCTTCCCTCCAGAGGCCACAGGACAGGCTGCTCCTGCTCTCAGAGCCAAAGCACCAGCGCCAGCAGAGGAGAACCCGGCTTCTAAGGGGCAGGGCTGGAGCCGGGGTGACAGGTCGATGGGCACTGTGGCCTCAGTCAGCTCCAGTCCCTGGGTGCGGGGCAGCCTCCTTTCCCCGCACAGAACGGGAAGGCCCTGGGACAGAGCTGGGTGCGTAGAAGCACCCACGGGTACGCGGCTCTGGGGTCCCTCACCTGGGTGGCTCACCCTGGGGGCAGGCAGTGGCACGGACAGAGAGCTGGTCAGAGCCTCTTAGCTCCATGCCAACACCCTGCCCAGGCCCGGGGACAGGACTGGGAGCCCTGCTCAGCGTGGAGCAGGCGCTTACCTCCTTTGTTGGTGGGGCCCTGCCCCTGCCTCTCCCTGTGCGTGAGTGCCATGATCCACCGGGCCCGGTCACTCCTGCAGTTGGAGAGGGGATGGGTGAGGCCCAGCCTGGGGGCCTCTGGCGTCACACGTCCCACCCGCAGGGCGGCACTGTGGAGAGATGGGCTCGCACGGCCAGGGGTTCCGTGAGCGTGACCCCAAAGCCCTCAAGGCAGTGGCCACGAAGGCTCACGCTGCCTGGGTGCCCTCTCCTGACCCCCACAAACCACTGAGGGGCCACGTGGGGGAAATCACGGGGCAAAAGTGAGGGCAGCCAGGCTGACCCTGAGCCCCACCCGCCCAGCGTCCCAGAGGCAGGCAGCAGCCTCACCCTCACCGACCGGGCCGCCCTGTCTGCCGGTGCTGGGCCCCAAGCCCACTGGCCTTACCAGTTTAAGGCTTTACCTTCTGCCTCAGCTTCCCATCTGGAGGGAGCATGGAGACCAAGCCAGCCCCGTCCCTGCCTCCCTCATCTGCTGAGTGCCCGTGGTGCTGGCGTCTCCGTGTGCTGCCCACACACTTCCAGATGGTTCTGACCTCACTACCCCCCACCCCACCGCCGGCACCTGGGCTCCGGCCCAGCCTGGTTCTCAGCAGAGACCTCCTGCCTCAGGGCCTTTGCACAGCCGTGCCTCTGCCAGGCTCCCCTCCCCACACGGCATTGCACCAGTCAGGCTGCCCCACCGGGTGCTCCCTTCCCTGCCTTGCCTTCCTGCTTCGTCGGTGCCCCCGGACACGCCCGACGGTCCAGCTGCTTATCTGGCTGGCGTGTCCCCCTCCCACCTGTGTGAACTCTGGGAGGACGAGGCTGCCCTGGCCTCCGACGCAGGGCAGGGCTCACGGCAGGTGCCTGAGAACTCGACAGCACGAACCCCTGCTCCCGGGAACCCTCCCCTGACTCACGCAGAGTCGGAAGACAGCAGGATCTTCTCCTGGAGGCCCTCACTGTTGCGCAGCAGGGTCACCCGGAAGGGGTGTGGCACCGAGGAGCTGCGGGTGCCACCGCCGCCCAGCAGGCTGGGGTCAAAGGGCTCCATCTTCTGGACCCGGATGTGGTCCACCTGGGCGTAGTCCTGAACCATGAAGCTGTCCTCGCTGCGGGACGACAGGCGGGTGGCCAGTTGCAGTGGGGGGGTCTGTGGGCAGCCTGGAGCCCCTACCCAGCTGGGGGGCACAGTCAGAGGGATGCGCCTGAGAACCACCCCGCAGAAAACACGGGCCGTGTGCTCTCTCGTCTGGGCCTGCAAACCCTGGTCTGCGGGCCATGAGAGGCGCCTGGCCACCCCACACGTCAGGGGATGCAGGCCGCTGCCAGGGACGGGCCAGGCTGCGCGGGGGACTCCAACTCTGAGGTCAGGGGTGGCTCAGGCGGCTGACCCCACGCCTCCCCAGGCCTGATCGCAGGGCCACACAGCCCGGCACCACGGTGGCCCACCTCTTCTTCTTGGTGACCACCAGAACGTCGTTGAACAGAAACAGGTAGCATGTGGGCCGGCTGGCCAGTTTTCGGAAAAGCCTGGTTTCTTCTACCACGAAAAGCTCCCCACGCTTCAGCAGCCAGCGGGAGGCAGAGATCAGCGGGAGGGACTGGAAGGAGGAGCCGGAGAGGCGCCACAGCTGGGGCAGGGGCCAGGACGGCGGGGGTCCCTGCCTCCAAGAACTGGGGACCGGCCTCCCGGGCTGGACCGAGGAAGGCGGGGCGATGTGGCCTCGCCTCACACAAAGGGCTATTCAGTTGGGCGACAGGCACAAATGGCACAGCTGCTCTGTGCCAAGTCCCAGCCCTGATCCCGCCCAGCAGCCAGGACAGGCCCGTCCTGCCTCCGGCCAGGCCCTGGGGCCCTCCTAGCACCTGCTGAACACTCTCTCCAAACTGGGAAGCGAAAGCCATTGTGGGGAAGTGTCCACACACCCTCACACCCTTCTCTAGGCCTCCGTGCCCTGCCTCCAACACTTGGGGCCTCCTGTCCTGCCCACTGCACCCGCCGCCCCCGAGCTCCGGCCTTCCAGGCAGCCCCCGGAGGTCAGCAGCCCAGCGTGTCGGAGGACAGTAGAGGCCCGGCCCAGAGAGCCGCCTCCAGGCCAACTCCTGCGGAGCGGCTCCCGTGGGGAAGTGTCTGTGTGTCTGCTCCTCACCCGCTGCAGGACAACCCCGCCCCCGCCCCTGCCCCCACGGAGGCAGGAGGCCCGTGGCCTGGGACGCAGCAGGGCCTTGCTCAGTGGGGACAACGGCTTGGGCCCTGCCTGCCTGGGAGGGCCGGCAGGATGTCTAGGCCCGTCCCCAGAACCGAGGGAGGCCCACGACAGGAACGGGGCCTGACCCCGTCCTTTACCCCATTCTCAGCGCTGCGCTGCGGGAAGCCTGGCCCGGGGCAAGCCCTCCGGCCCGCCCCGCCCCACTGCCCGCCCCGCTGCCACCCCTCCTCAGGCAGCCGCCCCCAGACGGCCCTGGGTCGGGGAGCACAAGCCAGAGAGACCCGTACGCCCACCTAGCCCCAGGAGGGATGATTCCCACCAGGGGACCAGGAGCCACAAGGGACATTCTAGGGCCCGGGGCTGTGCCCCCGCCCTCCCGGGAGCTGGCTCAAGAGGGGAGGGGTGCCTACCTTGACCCGGCCGAAGTCCAGCCGCGCGTGCAGCTCATACATCTGCTCCGTGCGCTCCATCTTGCGGGCGCCCTCGTTGCACTGATGCACCAGCTGCGGGGCCGGACAGCAGGCGCTGCCTCGGGCTGTGGCCCGGCCCCCCGCCACCCACGGCTTCCCAACCCACTCCTGGCTGCCCGCTGCCCACGGCTTCCAGCCCACACGCGGGCTGTCCTCGCTGCCGCCCCCAGGACGGGATCCCCGGCCACGTGTGAGCCCCTCTCCCTCTGGCCTCGGTTTCCCCATCAGCCCCGTGAAAAGCCCGAGATGGACAGTGCAGAAGCCCGCCCAGCCCTCAGGGTCCCCCGCACAAGGCGGAAAGGGACAGACCTCGGCTTGGTCCAGGTGCCTGCGCCTCTCCCCCGGACGCCCCTCACCTTGCTGATAGCCTTGAGCGCGCGGCTGGCGGCCTTGTACCTCTCGGGATGGCCTTGACTCTTGAGGCAGAGAGTCTGCAGAGCGGACCCCGCATGTCAGGCACCACATACCCTCCTGCGCTCCAGGCTTCAGGCCTGCGTGGGGCACAGCCCCCCCCCCCCACGAACAACAGACCCAGGTGGGGGCTGCGGGGAGGCAGAGAGTCCGTGTCCAACAGGCTCCTGCCAGGGCCCCGGGGGTGCACAGCCCCCAAACGGCTCCTGCCAGGTCAGGCTGGCAGATGGGACCCTGGAGAGGGCACTTGCCCAGGACCCCAGCCCTTCCGGTCCACAGCTGTCTTGGCCCAGTCTGGGGAAGCCTCCACAAGGACTGTGGAGGGTCTAACATCCCATGGGTCCACACCAACAATCCTCCAAGCACAAGCCGTGCGCTGCCTCTGGGGGCTTGGCAGGCTCCCGCCGAGTCTCCATCTGCACGTGTGCACGGGACGCACGCCTGCCTGTGTGCACGTAGGACATGGGCACCTGCACAGGTGCCTCTCACCCCGCCGCCCCTCGGGCCCACGAGCGGCATCTCAGAGGCCTGAGGCCCTGCAGGGAGCTCCTGGGAGCCTCTTGCTCCCTCCCCAGCGGGGGTCTGCGCGTCCTACTCACATCGGTCAGGAGGGGCAGCCGGGTCACCCTCTGCATGGGGAGGATCAGGAAGGAGATCATGGGGAGACCCCCGCACGCGGGACGCTTCTCGATCTCCTTCAGGGCCTCGTGGAAGGCGGTGTTGCTGTTCCTGCAACAGGGAACGTTCCCTCAGCTGCGACGGGAGGCCAGGTGCCGCTGGCAGACGCCGGGCCACGAGCAGGACTGTGCCGCCAGACCAGGGTGCCCGGAGCGGATCCCCGGCCGCAGGGAGCCCGCACTCACGTCAGCTTCTGCAGGGCGCGCTGCTGGTAGACCTCGTTGGAGCAGTAGGCGACGTAGGGGTGGAAGTGCTTCTCGGCGTGCTCCTCCAGGATGTCGCTGATGTCCTCCACGCAGACCTGCGCCTTGTGCCGCTGCTCCAGGGCCTCGAAGAATCTAACCAGGCGAGAGCGCAGTGGAGGCCTGGCCGTCCCCCAGCACGGCACAGGCACAGGCACATGCACACGCATGCAAACACGCACGCAGGGGCAGGAACCCGGCAGGCGCGTGGGGGACCCGCCGCCTGGGGAAACCCCAGCACACCAGCCGCTGAAGCCTGACAATCAGGCTGACCCGAGGGCCTTTCCTGCTGGATTCTGGCAGGGCCTCCGGCAGACACCACGGGCCGCAGACAGGCAGGACGCAGAAGCCGCCGCTCTGATGTGAGTCCTTGGACTTGGGTCAGACCCGCCGGGCGCCCTGGTGCCCTCTGCCAGCTCGGTGTGAGGCCGGGGGCTCCGGGTGGGCTCCCCAGCAGTGGTCACCAGGTCCCGCTTCCTCCTGGGGTCCCCTTCTGAGATCACCCTTGACCAGAGATCAGGAGGACAAGACTGGGAGGGAAGGTCCCAGGCCCCCAACACTGCAGACACCATGGGGCCCGCCGTCAGCCCCACCGAGCTCCGGGGATGGGGACACCACCGGCAGGAGGGGGAGGATGGGCAGTCCCGCCCCTGCGAGACGGGGGCCGTGCTCCGGTTACCCTCGGGGAGGCCAGGGCGAGTCTCAGGGAGGGTGAACAAGGCCCTGGCTTTGAGGACGGGTCCCTCAGACCCTGCTCGCTGGGCCCTGCTTGACCCTCTGCCCTAGGGGGCACCATGCGTCCATAAGGGGGAGCACTCGGAGAGCCCCAGCTCCTGGGCAGCCCAGGCAGACGGGGATAGGGACGGACAAGGACCCTGCCCCCTTGAGGAGGGCATGGGAGGCCCCAGCTGCCCAGGTGTAGGGCTGCATGCCTGTGCCTGGTTGGGTGGGCCACGCCGGTCAGCGCCTCCCCCAGCCATTCCAAGGGTTTCGAGAAAGTTCTGGGAAAGGGAGCCATCAGCTGCTGACCCAAGATAACCTAGTCCCAGGAAGGCCACTGTGACTGGCTCGGAGCTGCCAGAACCCAGCTGGAGCAGGAGGCCGGACCGTCGTACCCCAGGACAGTGATGGCCAGCCAGAGGCCCTGGGGAGCTCGGCACAAATGGGACAGCTGGCCCATGGTGGGTCCAGGCCCTCTGCTGTGCCTCGGGGATATGGAGCAAAGGGTCAGAGCCAGTGGAGGGCAGCCGCCTACCCCAGGCCCCCGTGGAGTCAAAGGCTGCGAGTTTCCCCACGCTGCTCTGCTCTGCGGCCCGACCTGTCTCCAGGGACAAGTCAGCAGCCCTCCCCCCGCAGGGCCCTGAAACCCCACGGGGGTCACAGGCAGTAGGTGTGGGCCGGGACGCAGGGAACCGGTCTGATGCTGATGTGAACCAGCCAGGGCCGCGCCACCTTCCCACCTGCCCCACCCGAGTCTGCCAAGGGCCCCGGACCCACCTCCTCGGGTTAGGGAGGACGTTGGGGCAAGAGGGGAGGTGTCCCGGGGTCTCCTGGGGCCCAGGGCTGTGTGTGGGAGTAGACGCACACACTCACAGACGCGTGTGCACACACACCCAGCCGCACACCTGCACAAGCACAGAGACGCACACACGCAGGCCCCTGCAGGCCCGCGGCGGCTCGTCCGGCTCCTCCTCCACCGCCAGGCCCTGTCACCGGAGCCCCGGGCCGGGCACCGGACACCATCGGGCACAACAGGACCCAAAGCCCCAACTTGAAGCGCCTCCTGCCTGCTCCGTCCCGTGGCCACTTCAGGGCTTGGTGCTCAGCCTCCGGCACAGGACGTCCCGGTGGGGGGATGGGGGTGGGTGTGGGTAAGGCGCCCGTCATCCAGCACGTGCTGCACCGTCCGACATCCGAGGGACGGGACTCTGGGGCGGGGGCGCTCAGCCTCTCACGGAGGCCAGCGCTGGGCGGCCTCGGGTCCCTGTGTTCCCTCCCAGCCCCCAGCAGCTCCCAACCTCCCACCGCGGTCCCAGACCCAGACTGTCCCGAGACCCCCAACAGTGCCGTGCTGCCCCGGGGTGGGGCACCCTTGCAGGCAGGCGCACAGCTGGGCCTCACCTCCGACTGGCGCTCAGGACGTCCAGGATGTTGGAGAAGAGGTGGTGGTGCTCCGTCTGGGTCATGGTGGCCCGCAGTTCCCCGGACTGTAGGAACTCGGCTACCAGGATGCCCAGGCTGTGCTGGTACGAGAACTCCGATGTGAGGATCTCAAAGATGGCCTGGCGGGGACGAGAGCCGCTGCTGGGGCCACCGTGCGCCTCGGGGACAGGGCCAGGGTGCAGGGCAGGCTCGGACCAGACGTCAGCAGCAGGTTAGAGGGGTACGTCTCATGCCCTCGGCTCAGCCTCTCGTGAGCTGTGACGCTGGCAAGGACCCGCACGTGCGTCCAAGAAGGGGTGATGGAACCCCCGCCCCCCGCCCAAGCCAAAGGCATCCACCATCATCCCAGTGTCCGGCCAGGAGGCGGGAGGCATCGCCGTGGCCGATGTCCTGCCCGTGTGCTGTGTGGCCTGCACCAAGTGGACACCCCGCCCAGCCCCTCACCTCCTGCCGCTTGCGTTCCTCAGCAGACAGCTCGTCCAGGAGGCCGGACTCCACCACCTGAGGAGGGCACGGGCCCGGGAGTCACAGGGTGGGCACATTTGGGAAGTCCAGCCTCCCTCCGAAGAGACGAGGAAGAGAACTGAGCGTCCAGAGGGAGCGGCTGGCGGACCCCGCTGGGTGGGGAGGGGGCTCTGTCCCGCAGAGCTGGCCTGGGGGCTGAGAGGCGTGCTGGGGACAGAGCCACAGCTCGGACACACGGGCCCAGGTGAGTCTGCGCCCTGCCCATGAGATCTGGGCACACGGTCCGGCTCTCCATGCCCTCAGGCCCCGGGGCCCCAGGCCGGTAAGCCCCCACCTTCTCGACCAGCCCAGAGGCTGGGCTCCAAGCCCCCGACTCAGGTGGCGCCCCGAATCTCCAGCGGCGTGTCCTGACCCGCCCCGACCCAGGAGAGCACACGCCTGCAGCTGCCCTCCCTGCCCACGGGCTCCAGGGCAGCTCTGTCCCTGGGCTCTTGGGGATGGGTCAGGAGTGTGGCTGTCCTCCTGGGGTCGTGGGGTTCCTCCCCACACACCTGCTCGGGACACCAGGGCCTCTGTCCCAGCCATGCTCTTCCCGGGGCCCCTGCGGCCCTACTGGGCAGGGACAACCATGATCAGGTGTGGAGGGTGAGGTGGCAGCGTGACAGTGGTATGTGGTTCTCTTGAAGCCGAGGCCTGGCCCTCTCCCTTCCCCTGAGGTCTTGGACCGCTCGGACCCTCTGGTACTCTCCGGGGGGCAGGCCCCTCGGAAGGGGGTCCTTTTGCCCACAGCTCTGGCAGATCAGTCCACATAGGGAGAGAGTGAGGGGCTCACGGGCGGGAGGCTTGTCAGACAAGTGCCGCCAATGGCATGTGGCCCTCATGGATCTCCCCCATGGGACCCAAACCCACGGAGCCCTCGGGGCAGGGCAGCCTGGAGGACAGCAGGAAGGGAGCTCCCCACCGCAAGCTGGGCCCAGAAGGTACTTTTGGAAGGCTTGTCCCCACACCAGAGGGACCGAGGCTGGCTTTGAGGAGCCAACCGCCCAAGGGCTTAGGCTCAGGACCTCAGCCCTCCATCCGGGTCCTACCTCTGGGAGCTGGCTCCAGGTGACCTGGGCAGGCCGGTAGCTTTTGACTACGATGGGGGCACCCGCCTTTTCCGTTCCATCGGGGCTGGACGGTTCACCGAGCAAGTCATCGTCGGACTCATGGCTGGTGTTCAGGCCCCGTTCCCGGATCTCCTGGTAGAACCCAGGGTCTGAGGAGAGGGACTGTGTCACCTGCAGGCCGGGGGGCTCTGAGCGGGCGTGGGAACCTGCGAGCCTGCAGGCTGAGTCCTCCCAGGGGGGCTCTGAGAGTGTCAGGCGGCGCAGGGCCCCCCAGAGCAGGCTCCCCTCAGGCTGGCTGGCTCTCATGGCCGTGCTGGGCCCAGCCCCGCACTGGGGTGGCGTCCCCGTGCAGAATGTGGCACCTTCAGACTGAGACTGAGCCGACAAATCCCAGCCACGGGGGGCCGCCTTGGGTGGGGGCTGTTCCCAGGCCGGGCCGAGCACACGGGGTGCTGGCTCCCCGGAGCCCATCCCCCGGAGGGCAGTCCCCGCTCTCCCGCTCTGCAGCAGCCCCACGGTGACGGCGACCGGCTGGCCCTGGATCAGGGCAACCCCCACGCCCCTCCTTCCCATCCCGCCTCAGATCTGCTCACCACGGCTCCTCTCCCTGGGGCAGGAGGCTTGGCTCCTGTCCGCCCCCCACCCCCAGGCCCACGGCTGTCTAGAGGCTGGGGGCTGGCAGGGAGGGAGGGCCCTTCCTGGCTGGATCCCTGCGCCCTAAGCCCCTCACAGCCCTGGGTGCCGCATCCCAACGGCACAGACCCCTCCCCCACCTGCTGGGGGGTTCTGTCGGCATCCCACCCCTTGGCAGGCTGCACACACTGCTCTGGGCCCTCCTGAGCCCCGACACCGGGCTCCTTGCACACTGTGAAATGTACAGGCAATGCACACAGCGTGGGTGTCTACACCCGGGGCCAGTGCCCTCTGGCTGGCCTTGGTCCCACCGGTCACTACAGGCCTGGCACATGCAGGGTTGGCAAACGTTCCCTGGGGTGAGTGCAGGGGCTCTGTCTGTCCCCTGCCCTTGGAACACTTCAAAAGGGAGCACGAGAGAACTTTCTAGACCCAACAGAACGGCACAGATGAGCCACGGGGACCTCCCGTCCCTGGAGAAACCCCTCTCGACATGTTCTTGCCGAGAGACCAGCCTCCCCCGCCCCCCAGCAGCCCCAGAGAGACCAGCCTCCCCTGTGCCAGCCGGGCCTATGGTGGCTTCCTGAGGTCACCTCCCTCGGCCACACTCACCGTCCTTGAAGGAGCCCTTGTGCGCTCGCTTCCGTCCCAGCGTCCTCTGTGCAAACAGGAGAGACACAGACACGCCAGCAGTCAGCGGGGAGGGGAGGCAGGTGTGAGTCGGCCTCGAGCCCTCTACCCCTGGGGGGCCAAGCACCACGCGTGCGGCCTGTTCAACAGCGGGGGCTCTGCCAGGCACCCACAAGATGCTCAGTAAACGTGGAGGGAAGCCAGGCCACCAGGCAGAGGCCAGGGTGGGTAGGATGGGGTGGAATGGGAGCTTGGAGCAGGCAGGGCAGCTTGACTGGGAGCTGGGCAGATCCAGGAGGTCTGCCTGGAGGAGAAAGCAGGACTGAACTAATCAAGAGCGGGTGCTCAGGCAGGCGGGTGTTCCAACTGGGCGTGAAGGGAGGCCCACGCAAGGCTGGATGGGTCCGGCCAGAGGGGCTGAGGCAGCCCAGGGCTGGGAGCTGGGGCGGCAGGAAGGGCGGAGTCTAGCTCCCAGCATGGGTGTGGGGTCCCAGCAGCTGCTGGCAGGACTGCAAAGGCAAGTGGGGGTTCTCGGGGATCCCCACCCGTGGCCCCAGCAGCCGCCTGCTCAGAGCCTCCTTGGCCGGGACACGGTGTTTTCCTGAGTGGGAAGCCGTGCCGGCTCCAGGAAAGGGAGAGCTGGTATCTCGGACGAGTTGGGGCTTGACAACTCCCTTTGCTGGGCTGGAAGGTGCGGTGCTCCAGCCACACCTGGCTCCCCCGTCCTGTGCCCACCCAGTGCCCCTCGTTCACACCTGGCTTTAACCCTTCCTCCTCGGGACCCTGTCCCCACCCCCGCCCCGCCCCTGCCCTGAGCAACCAGGGAGCCAGCCCCTCCTTGGTGCTCTGTCGGCCCCCAGACCTGAGCACCCCAGAGCACCCCTGACCCCTCACTGCCCTGGGAGCTCCCTGGGGCCCTGCCTCCAGGGCCCCCCTCAGGACCCCAGCACCAGCCGCAGGAGAACTCGGGAAACGTCGGTTGAGCTCTTGGGCCAACAGCGAGCTGGCAGCTGGCCTGGTCCTAGGCTGGGGGCTGCGGGGTTCCTCAGGCAGCTTCCGGGGCCTGGGCAGCTCAGGGAGGCAGGCAGGGGCCGTGCCCCACCTCCAAGGCCACAGGCATCTTTCAGAGGAGGACAGCGGCCAAGGTGCACCCCAGGTCTCCCGCTGCATGCTGGCTTGCTGGCACTGACGGCCGGGCTTGGCTTCTCCCCGGGCTGGGGCCACCGCTCACAGTCCCAGGGCATTCCTGGCAGAGGCGGCCGCGGGAACAACTCTGGGCACACAGACCCCGAGCAAGGGCACCCTTCCCACTGGCCCCGGGCCAGCCCCGCTCTCTCAAGAACACTGGCGCACAAGGGTGTTGGGCAGGGGAAGGAGGGGTGCGGGCAGAGAGGGTGTCAGACTTCTCCTGAGCCCCCATGCAGGGGCCCATTGGGCAGACGGATCCAGGCCAGGTGCCGCTTGGAAGCCCTCCCTACAGCTTGTCCCGACAGCCCGGCTCCCCTTGGGGCTCAGAGAGGGGCTGTTCCCTCTCACTGTGGCTGAGTGGGGACGCTGGAGCCTGAGGGCCTGGGGAAAGCCCCCGACCTTTCTGAGCCTCAGCTGCCCCATCTATAAAATGGGGATGTCACACTCAGCTCACAGTCTGCCCATGTGCGTGACCGGGGTGAACCAGGTCAGGGATATGCACACGGTAGACGCTCCCTGGGCCCCTCTGCACCATTAGGTGAGGCCCTGTCTACAAGCTCCCGAGGCCCCTCGAGGCACGGCCCCTGCCCCAGTGTCCAGGCAGATGGGCCCCTACCTTATTCTTGGCCGGACACCGAGCAGGAGGCGGACTGGGCTCCTCGGCCAGAGCTTGGAGCTTGGGGCTGAGCTGGATGGGGGTCCTCTCCCCGCCCGGCGCCCCCAGGCCCTGCATGGCTGCCCGGTAGGATCGGTTCCGCAGGTTCCGTCTGAGCGCTCCCTCGGGGCCCGTGTCCACGTCCATGTCGTCCAGGGAGAAGCTGGGGGCGGAGACGAGCCGGGGCTCCCTTCGGGCAGCTTCCTTGCTGAGCACGGCCGCCCCGAAGCTCTGGTGGCGGGCTGGGGTCTTGGCCTTGCTGGACACGGCCAGGCTTCTGGGGATCAGCTGCTGAGTGCCCATCTTGAGGGCCACGGGGCTCTGTGTGCTCAGGATAATGGTCCGTGGCTCCTCGTCCTTAGTGGACAGAGGTGGGGGCACCGAGGTGTCCTGCTGGAAGGCGGCATTGTCCCTGACCTGCAGGGAGTCCCGGACCATGGGCAGCCCGGGTGCTGGGTTCCCCTTGGCATCGAGCCGCAGCTCGGAGTGGAAGCGGTATTCCAGCAGCTTCTCTTCCAAGGAGCTGTCCGAGTGTCGCTGGGACATGCTCCGCAGCCGCCGTGCCCTGGGGCAAAAGAGCAGGGGTGAGGGCGGCATGCAGATACCCACCCAGCAGCCCCCCCTGCAGACGGGCCCATCCATGGCTTCCCAGCACCCGCCCTGGCCGGAGACCCCACTGGGGATGCAGGGCTCGGAGGCCTGGAGCAGAGCCGGGGAGGGCCTGGCCCCCAGCCCCCAGGACCCCTGGGGAGGTGGGCTGGGAGGCTCAGGCCTGCAGGGCCCCAGGCGGCTGGGACTGGGCCAGAGGACATGCCTGCTTCCTCCGGTGGGCACACACACCGAGGACAGACCCCACGCCCGGGCTGCAAGCGTGGGGCAGTGCAGGCCACCTGGACCGGGGCCCTGGAGCCCTGAGCTGCGGCAGCCCTGGGCCTCTGGGCGCCATCTCTTGCCGGTCGGTAATGCCGTCTGGGAGGTCTTCTGACGCCCGCCTCACATAGCGCGGGCCACGACCCCAGCCTCAGCTGAGCCCCCAAGCTCGGGAGCAGCAGAGCCAGGCTCTGCCGCGCTGGGTTGGGGGTATGACCTCACCCCACCCCCCAAACACCCCGGCTGTCCTCACTCTCGGTGTGCAAATGGAGAAACCCAGGAGCCAGCCCTGGGATGGGGGACAGGAAGTATGCGTCACCAGGCTCTGAACCCAAGTCCATCTGATTTCAGACCCTTCTCTTAGAGGCCCCGTGTAGCTATTCCACCACAGCTGGTGTCTGCCAGCCTTCCCACACGTCCAGGGACACACTAGGCATTTTCCCCCATTGATGAACTCAGAACAGGTGAACTCAGAACGGGGCCAACAATCCCTTTCTCCAGAGCCTGGCCGGGCATGGTCACCGCGTGTGCGTGGACAGAGGGGAGGGAGGTGCTGGCAGAGCCCGAGCCCCAGCCTGCTCTCCTTGCATCCTTTGGATGCTCATCCCCCCAGGGCCCCAAGCCCCCAGCCGTGTGGAGCCCCCAGCCGTGTGGAGCCCGCTGACTGGCGTCTGTGGCCCAGCTGTTCGCTCATCAGGGCTGAGGGGTCCGCTCCACCGGCGTGGACGGCCCACACCACCTTCCCACTCGGGGTCGGGCAGAGCCAACGCCAGCCTCCCGCCTCCGGGGCACCAGCATCTGGCCAGTGACCGAGCCGTCCTGAGGGGCCACCTGCCGCTGTCGCGTCGCTGCCCTCTGCTGCGTTTTCCACCTCCGTTTCAAAATCCGCAGATGGGCAGAGTCGCGATGAGGCCGGCCTCCGGAGGCAGGAAGGGTTGCCCAGCCCAGCCCGGCCACAATGCCCGAGCCCCCGCGGGAATGGAAGGCCGTGTCACCCTCCTGCTCCTTGCTCCAGACCTACAGGCGGGACAGGCGCCAGCTTGGGACGACTTGGCAGGACTGCCGAAAACTCACTCTGTATCGCTTCCTTTCAATTTTAAGAAAAGCGGGCGGCACGGCTCCCTGCACCCTTCCTGCAGACACACAGCTTGCACGTGTCACGAGAGCCAGCGAGGCTGGGAGCCCATTTCTTGGATGATAGAATTATGTCTCCACGTCACCAGCCCAGGGGGCCCAGGCTGGGCGCAGTTTCGCTGCCCGGGGCCGTGTGCCCTGCAGGCAGACCTGGGGCAGGAGGCAGGCCCATCGTCTCCGACAGCCCTGGGAGAGTGAGGGTGTCACCTCCTCTCTCCCACCCTGGGGGGCGTGCTGCTAGAGGGGCCCGGGCCTGTGCTGGCAGGCGCGGAGCCTCTGGAGTCGAGGGACCCACTAGGAGGTCCCTGCCCAGGCCTACCCCCGACACTCGCCACCCAGTCTCGCATCGGGCCGCGTCCCCTGGGAAGTTCCAGGCCTCAGCTCCAGAATCCGTCTGCGAGGGGCGGCCGGGCTCTGGAGGGGTCCGCACCAGAGTATAGTTGGGGGCCCGGCCAGAGGCCAGGCTCCCCACACCCCCGCTCCTGGTGCACACGCTCTCTGCTAAAACCATCCCAGAGAGGGTGTGCGGCCGAGCCTCCTGGTGACAGGGAGGGGCCGTCCATGGAGCTCCAGCCACCCCCATGCCCGGAGGACACCGCCCACGCATTCCTGGGGACATTCTGAGTCACCGGCAGCTAGGGCGGGTGATGCCATCCAGGCTCACCCACCTCCATGTTAACTTTGTCTGCATCTAGCCAGGCCGGGCCCGGAACGGGGTTTCTGGCAGACGTCGCTCTATCTGGGGTCCAAGCAAAGTGCACCCACGCAGGTAGGGAGCCTGAAGCCGCAGACGTCTGCCAGGGCTCTTCTTCGAGGCTCCTACCGCGGCTGCACACCTCGTCGCTGCACAGAGCCCAGGGTGCAGCAGAGCCAGCACCGTCCCCACCCCACCGGCCCCGAGCCGTCCTTCCTCTCCCTTGCCCCCACCCGAGGCCCCAGGCTTGGGTCTTCTTGGCCCCGTCCTCTGGGCCTGGACCCTGGACCCCAGACCCTGGACCCAGCCAGGGGCACAGCCTCTCCCAGCGTAGGGCAAAGTCTGCTCTGGGGCCTGAGGTGCTCCAAGGAACCTGTCGGGCGAGCCACTGCCGGGTGTGACCTCCGTTCCCAGCAAGGTGGCCACACCCACAGGCCTGGGTTGCCACCGGTCTAGGGACCAGGCCTGCAGGAGAGCGGGTGCTGTCTGGGGCTCTGCAGGGCCTTGGAACCAGAGAAGGCTGGGGAGCCACCGCCCCCACGGCCAACCCTGTGTCTCCTTCCTCCAAACGTTTGGGTTCCCAAAAGTCCCTGGACACGGGTCCAAAACTCAAGCTCCAAGACAGGTGTAGTGGGGCGCTGGGTGGTTCAGTGGGTTAAGCCTCTGCTTTTGGCCCAGGTCATGATCCCAGGGTCCTGGGATTGAGCCCCGCATCGGGCTCTCTGCTCCGCGGGGAGCCTGCTTCCCCTCCTCTCTCTCTGCCTGCCTCTCTGCCTACTTGTGATCTCTGTCAAATAAATAAATAAAATATTTAAAAAAAAAAAAAAGACAGGTGTCGCCTTCTCCGCTGCCCTGACACCTGCCCCCATCCCCTGACCCCCACCCCAGGCCGACACCCCAGGCCCCACAGCCAGTCCCTGATTCCTGCTCCTGGAAGAGCTCCCAGGAGGAAGGCCAGCATCGGCCCCTCTCCCGGCTGCGTGGATGGGGCTCCAGCCCTGTGTGTCGTAGCGGGACGCCCGGGGCCGGCCTCCCTCATTAATCATTCCCTCTTGTTGACTCAGGTTTTCCTCCTGCTCCTTTCCCCCCGGGCATTCCTCGTCCCTGCCTCGTCTGCCTTGACCCTCTGCTCCACGCGGTCAGTGCATCGGCTCCGCGTCCTCCCGGGCCCCTCCCCCAGTCCCACCCTCCCCGGTCCTTTCCTGGGGTCCCCCACCTAACCCAGGCTCCAAGGCGGCCTCACACAGGAGTAACGGGCTGAGATTAGAGCCCGAGGGAGACATTTCCTCCAGAACAGGAGGTCTCTTCTGTGGTCTAGGGTTCTGCTGCCAGCGAGACGTCTGACGCGTTCGACCTCGCCTCCCCGGATTGTGGCCTGAGGTCCCCCCGGCCCGCTTTAACTGGGGAGTTCTGGTGCTCCGGCACACAACCCCAAGTTCACCCCTGAGCCACGGGCTCGTGCCCCCTTCCAACCCCGTCCTCGGGTCTAGCGGGTCCGGGCGTATGCTGGGGACATTTCGTCCACACGTCCTCCCTGTTTTCTCCAGCCCCTCTCTCGGGGGCAGCCTGGCGTGGGCGCTCAGGCCCCTGGCGTCACCTCCGCACCTTGCCCTCTCCCATCCCGTGCTCTCATCCCTCTGCCCTCCCGAGGGCGGGTCCAGCCTTTCCACCACACCTGCCCCGCTGCTGGCCTGGCCTGCGAGCGCCGGCTCCTGCTCCAGGACACTTACGGCTCCTCTTTGGCCTTGGCCCGTCCATCCTCTGGGCCCGTCACACCCTCGCAGGCACCCGGCTGTCCTCAAACGCCCAGCAGTCCTGCTTGGCTGTCTGCTCAGACTACGCGGAGCCCACTGGCCTCGCGTCGGGAGGCTGGTGTGCGGGGGCGCACGCACACATGTGAGCGCAGCGGCCCCGCAGGCTCCTGGGCCCCCCACTGTCCCGGTGTCTGCGGCTGGCGGCCTCTGCAGAGTGGCCATCCCAGTGTCCTCGCTGCTGCTGGCCTTCGCCTGGTGTCCTGGGGCTGCGCGAGGGAGGGGCCAGGGCACAGACTCTCCTCTCCGCTGCCTCTGGGAGGCCCAGGGCAGTGAGGGCTGCATGCTGCGCGTCTGACTGCCCGAAGAGTCTGTGGGTGCTTCGGGAGCAGGGACAGTCGCTGTCCCCAGAGTGGGCTCAGTCCCCAAACTGTGAACGCTGGCCATCAGGGTACTTGCTCTGTCCTGGGCCCCTGCCCTCAGGCTGCGTCCTCCCCAAGAGGCCCTGGGGTTCCATGCACGGACTTAGCTTCCAGCCACCAGAAACTGCCAGGGATGCATCACGGGGGCTTCCGGATCCGTCCGTGACACCACTGGGTGACTTCCTGCTGTTCCTGCTCCAGGGGGCTGGGGAGGCCAGTCCTCCGCTGGGTCCTTGTAACCCATGCGCAGAGTCTCCCTCCGCAGCACGTGCAGGGCAGGAAAGGGGCACTTGCCGTGTGGGACGCAGGAACGGCAGCAGGTGGGGTGGGGGGAGGACCCGACTCTGGGGGGCCAGGCTGAAGCGGCACTCGGCACCGTCCTCACTGCGGTGCGGCCCCTCATAGCCCAGTGCCCCCTGCTCCCTCGTTCTTCCCGAGAGATGGGCTTCTGGGACTCGGGCGGGCTCTGTGCTGTCTCCCGGCCACTGCCTTGCAGATGGACCAGCGGCTCTGCCCACAGCCGCTCCCCCAGCCAGCAGGATCCACACCACTTCCCCTGTGGGGCCTCCGTCCCCTCTGCCCTGGCCTCGAGGTCTGGCTGACCCCACCCTGCCTGGTGGGGCTCAGCCTCTCCAGCACCATCTGCCCGACCCTGGTCCTTGCTCAGGCTGACTTGAGCCACAATGATGG